CATTGAAACCTCCATTTATTGATGGCTGTTGTAGATTTCCCGTGACCCCAACTGGTTCAGCCATCCAGTGCATCCTGAAAAGACCCTGTCATATATACACAGGAAGGCAAGCGGAACAAACTATGAAACTGCTACCCAGTTTGGTTCCAAATCGTTGGTGTCTTCCTCTTGGCAGAAGCAACAAAACCAGTGAATAGTTAATGGTTCAGGCTATGTTCAGACATGTTCAGACATACAAGTAGAATAATCCTATCCCCCCAATATTAAATCCCATACTAAACCAGAAGGTGGTATTTATACTAAGGGAAAGGGATCAGTCATGAAGCTCCAGATACCTGTGGAAAACCTTGGGTCATCCAAAACATTCCAAGACCAAAACCGTCACCGCGTAGCGTCATGGGATGTCATGTGAGGCCCCCAAGTTACCAAGTTACATTTTACCCGGCCTGGGATGTCAGGTCCCAAAAAACGATGGAAAATCACCATGATTTTCATGATTACCATGGGTAAATTTGGGTAAATCAACTATAAATCACCATTTTCAACAGCTATGTTTGTAAGTTTACCAGGCCGGGTACATCATTTTACGATAGTTGACCAGCCATGTGTGGCCTGAATTGGAAACCAGGCTGCGGCGACTGAAGCATATCCCGGAGCGGATAGAATATCAAGTTGTCCACGTAAATCCACCCATCCCCACCATGGGAACTATATATATACAAGTGGAAGTCAAATGATATCATGATCTACACCAGAATGATATCATATGTGATATATGTAGATGAATATGTATAATTATGTATACATATACACATAGAATTATCTCTATATATACTGTAATAAGCATATAATATATCCGGTCACATACTATATTCTATATATTAATATCATACACAATACAAGTTACAATTATCCTGGAATAGATAGAAATGTGGGAGTTGCCCAAAACATTCCTGTTTTTTCGTCGCCGAGGGGCCACCCCTCCATGGCAGCGGCTCCGCTCTCGAAGTTCAATACCTGGCTTTGTCTTAAAATGATTCCTCCAAAATGGTCATGTGTAGTGGAGATATAAAATGATATAAACGTAGATTAAAATGTTTTAAGACACAGTCATATACCATCCAAACATTCTGGAAGTGCTGTTTAAGAAGTAGATACTTCGACACAAGGAAATATCGGAAATTGGGAGCAACGACCACTTCCAAGTGGCAGCTAAAACTACCCGAATATTTTGCTCGTTGCTGGTTGGATTACCTCTACGCTTCTTTTATCTTTTGGACTTGGCTTACCTGTAGATTTGCACTATGCAGGGGCATGCTCAGGTTAACCCGAGCTGTGTGATATGGCAGAGCATATCTGTTGGCAAAACATGGGATCGCAAAAAAACTCCGTGTTGTATCCGCTGGCACTGGTAGAATCTGGTAGAACTCCACACTTTCGCATAAAAAATGGCAACACGTCATCTGCCACATAAATAGAAGGAAAAACTGGGCACTATCCTAATTCCATCTAATTCCCATATCCCAATTGTAAACTGGCACTACTGCTTAGACTACTGCTTGGCTCATAGGAATCATGTCCAGCTTGGTATGGGTCAAAACGTCAGATTCTACAAAGCACCACTTTCTCTTAGAGAGTGATCCTATATTTTCGGCCAGGAGCATCTAGGGGCACTCGCACTCATCCAAATACCGTCCCATCCACATGTGATCCCAAAATCCAGTGGTTTATCATCATGTTCATTATTAACCATTACTATCATTTCTTAACCACATTAATTAACCATTATTAACCATGATTAACCAAAATTAACCAAAATTATCAAGTATCCTATTCTTAACCACTATGAAAACCATTACCATTTATTAAATCATTTCCCCGAATCACCAACCAGTGAAAATCATTATGAACTTACTTGTGCTAAACGTAACTAGGGAACTATCGGAAATGATCTCAGAATGATCCACTGGCGAACTATCAATCCCAGCAACCCCCAGCAACCCATCCAGCACCTGCAACTCGCTGACCAACTGTTCCAAGCCCAGAACTTTGTCCGCCTGGTGAAACTTGGGACATCTACGGTTGAAACATGTTGAAACCAGTGTTTTCAACGACCAAATCTAGGGGGGGTCCTGCAAATTGTATGAATTTGTTCCATTGTCCATTTTCGGGAATGTGATGGAATGTGGTATCACTATGTATCACTTAAAAAAGCTTCGAATGATGTAGTGCAGAAGATATTGTTGGGGTACAGTATCTTCGAAAATGAGGACCCAACATTTATTATTGAGATCTTTTGCGCAGGAAATCCAATGGGTTTTGGGTTCTCCGATTTTAAGTGCACCGATTTTCCTGGAATTGTGAAGCTTGTACAGCTTGTGCAGCAGTGTTTGCATGTATCGTACCTATAGAATCTAAATGTTCAAACTGTAAGTATTTTTTTGGGACTAACCCAAGAAATCTTGTTTGTTCAACATATCATGCAGCATCCTCATATTTTCCTGAAAAAAACACGTTTTTTCATGTGTTTCTATGCTTCAACTCCCCATCCAGAGTCAAATCTTGGTGAAAAATAGCGAGTTTTTGACCAGGGAACAAAAAAGAAACCACCAAAATGTTGCTTACCATCTATAAATGGACCATTTTCCATGGCTATGTTAAATAACCAGATGGTAAATACATTTAAATACAATTAAATACACCGTTTTCTGAACATCCCCAGTATTTAAGCTCTAAAAAAATGTGAAATCCGTCTGTGTTTGTCTAAAAATAGGGTACCAAAACGTATCATGATTTATCAGCACGTTCGCATTAATAAGGCAAGAAATGAAAGCATCCATTTTTGGACTAACCCATGTATCATACATAACCCAATATGAATTATATGTATTATGAACATCAGTCAATACCACTCATGTCCTGAGTCAAAAAGATACATCACCATATTTTGATATCCTCATCAATATGCTGTGCAATTAGTCATGCTACCCTCATGGTGGTTTTTCCATATCTATGTTAGTTTAATGAAGATCATGAAGGCTATATGCCCTCTGGTAATCCAACGTAGCTATGGAAAATACAAGAAAAATTAATGACATCTTTTTAATCGATAAAATCATCTATAAATCATCTATAAATCATCCAAATTGGGCCACTTTCTATAGCTATGATCATTGCCAATCAGCCAGATACCCTGCAACAAATGACAAATTCTTTGCTGGTGAATGTAGATATTCCCATTAATATCAAAAGATATCAAAAGACTAGTTAGGATTAAAGTACCCTAATAGTAATTAATAGAGACTGACATAGTAATTGATAGTAATTTTCATAGTAGTTAAAGTACCCATAACTAGGTCAATCTTCCCATTCCTCTATAAGATTGACCTAGTTATGTCAAATCCCCATAGAGGATTGGCCCTATCCATTTCACCCGATTTCAGCGAAAAAACCTGCCGCCATGTTTTCGCCTCCTTCAGACGCTGCCGTTGCGCCTCTGACAGCTCCTGGACGGCGGCCACCGTTACGGACGGCTGAAAATTGGAAAATGTCAGAAGAATCTGACACTCATTGGATTCTGATCTGACATACATCCCAATCTGACATTTGATTATTTGGAAGATTGGAGAATCCAATGAGTGTCAGATTTGATCAGATTTGATCTTCCAATTTCTTTACAATCAGATTGTGACGATTGGGACTGAAAATTGGATTTGATAGTTGGGATTTTGGAAAATTGGGATATGCTGACGTTTAAAAAAATTAACCAGCAGAAACGTTGACTTCAACAACAAACATGTGGAGTTCAACCAGCAAACATGGCGGGGTTGACGATCCCTTTATGATTTTACCAGCAAACCCTTGTGGTGTTGAAGGAAGGTGGGTGTTGGATGTGTAAGCAACAAAAAATCATGAAACCAGCAAATAGCGGATTTCAATCAGCCAACATGGCACCAAGAAAATGATCGGTAGGGAGTTAAGCGGAAAAAATCGAAAATTCCGAGGATCAAGGGCATCTAACCAGCAAACAACAGAACATACGTTGCTTGATATGACCGATACCAACAAGTGACTGTCATTGTTCAAACGACGCCGACGCCGACGCCGACGACGACGACGATGATTTTCGTTTTATCGTTACTGAATCGTTACTCTTCTGCTTGCGTGATACTCTCGACTTATCGTGGCATGTTCTCCGTTCTCTCCTCTCGCGAGGTGCGCAGCTGTCGCAAGGCTTGTTGGTGCATCTTTTCCAGGAATTCGATCCTGCAACTGCGTTGAGCCGAGCCTCCATATTGTGCATGACATCGACTGGTTCTCTTTTCCGGAAATGCGAAATAAAGACATGTGGATATATATATATATACTTAGATATGGATGGATGGATAGATAGATGGATAGGATTAGATTAGATTAGACTAGATTAGAGTAGATAGGTTGGGTTAGATTAGATTAGATTGGGTTGGGTTAGATTAGATTGGATTAGGTTAGGTTAGGTTGGGTTAGATTGGATAGATAGATAGGTAGATAGAGATAGAGGTACATATACATATACATATACATATACATATGCATATGCAAATACATATACATATACATACACAAACACATATACATATACATACACATATACATATACATATACATATAGATATACATATACATATACATATACATATACATATACATACACACATTTGCATATACATATTCATTTTCATACACATTTACACATACATATTCATATACATATTCATATTCATATTCATTCGCACATGCGAATGCATATGCGTATGCATGTGCATATTCATTTGCCTATGCATAAATATATATGTATATTATATATATACATATCAATATATTGATACAATTCCCGAAAGAATGTACGTTGTATCACTGCCACAAATTCCACTGCTACAAAAGCAGAAAGTAGCACTTGCCAAACAAGATAACTTGCTTCATCTTGTCAGCGGAAACAGCCAATCAGCTGCCTTTTTTGGTAACCTTTCGGGCCACTAGTCTTGAGGCTCTTGCAATTCGTTCACAATACTACAGCAGTTAGTTCCAGAACAATCCCATCAGTTTACTTTTTGTCACCCTCACGACTCACAATCGTCCAGCTTCTTTGAGCTTGCTATATAACAAGAGGGCACACAAGCCCTTGGCATCTGGAGACAAATGCCACAAGTCTGCCAGAGGAACAAGGCACAACCTGTGCAGGGAATGGCCCCAAAGGCATCTTTCGGTTCTGGGGAGTTTGAACTTTTAACTATACCAGTATTAGATCAAATCCAAAAAAGACCGCCTTATTCATGGCTAGCCTGGATTTTTAATAATTCACGAATGGTTAGACATTTTGATCATAGCCGAATATGGGTCAACACTTTTGTTGCAAAATCGCTTTCTTAAGCTGTGGCAGCCAAGGTTTCGTCGACCTTCGAGAAGCAACCGATTTTGGGTGATAGTATGACGCCCCAGCCAGCCAAGGGTATGCAAACATAAGTGTATCCATGTTGAGGTATCAAACCATTCAGTTCAAGCACTTTACCAGGTATAGATAGTAATAACATCTAATAAATATGGTGTTCATTGTTCATTCCATAAATATGGTTATAATTGACTTAGAGCTGGTAAAGGGCCATAACTGTTTGGCATATTCTCCAGTATCTACGCTAGTTTATTGGAGTTGAGTTTCCACACTGCTAGATATTACCCTCTGTTGCTGGTTTCAGTCTGTGACGAACCGCTCTGTCAACTAGCAACTTGATCTTCTCGTTCTCTTCCCGCAACCCCATCAATTTCCTTAGTGGTGCAAGTTCACTGCGCGCAGTATGGCAGTTTAACTGGATCAACTACTCCGCCCCGCTGGAGATAAAACCAATGAGACTGGAAATACCACCACAGATTAGTATTCAAATGCACATATAGGAGTCATCAAATGAATCGCCAACGGAAATCATGTAAAAGGAGGAAACCTATAAGACCTATAAGGATACACAAATGCTGGGATCCGTTCATGATGCCATCTGCAAGCTGCAAAACCAATCCACAAATTCCAGCATAGTCTTAGCTAAAGAAACACAGGTACAAAATGACACCTACTGAGAACGCAAACTCGTCCTGAGAACGATGGGTATTTGTCAGGCTGACTGGGATACCCATTGATGATGCTCTAAGACAAGAAACCCTGCCGGAGGAACTTGTTTGAAGGCACCCCTTTTGCACTGCAAAGTAACGCAAAGATTGATCAGTGTGTTGAAACAACACTCCAATGAAATTGGCCTAGGTAAGTGCTAGAAACAACTACTACCCTCTGGTAAACTAACATAACTATGGAAAATCACCATTTTTTTATGGAAAAACTCACTATAAATGGCCATTTTCAATAGCTACGTTAAATTACCAGAGGGTACTATTGACAAAAGACTCTACGCTGCAGTTTCGCAAACTCCCCATGGCGCAGAAGCTTCTCCACTCGGATATCCACCATAACTCCAAGGGTTAGCCGTTAGCAATTACCCATGACGGATCCATGGTGCTGGTATATATGCTAACATGACTGGGGTATATTGATGGGATCCATGTTACCATATATATATAGCATACATGGATCCTATGGGTTATCAACCAACTTCCAATTTAAAGAATTCCATCCGCTATCCTCAGCATTCAGCAACCCAAAAGTTTGCTATCACCCAGTCTCCCTTCCAAACTCAGGATTTCCTCTTGCCGCATCCGCCGGCGAAAGAGAAAGAGCCGAATGAATTCATCGCAGGCCCCCACAGAGGGATACATTCCCTCGAACTCTTCGCCATAGACCTGTGACCGGTGATCAACAGAACGCGAAGGGTTGGGGGTCACTTTCACCAACAAAGGAGGCGTAAACTTGGGGTGTAGTCAATGTCAAACAGAGGTTGATAGGTGATTGGTTGGGTTGTTTTGCGCGTTGAAATTGTGTATGGCAACATCGTGGAGTTTGTTCACCGACATGGGGAACATCCACAGCATGTCATGGTGAAGGTTTCCACATCGGAGTTCCAAATTCATGGATTATACGTCTTCATCTCCGATATCATACTTGCCAGCAAAAGATATCAACCATCATTCGTGAACTACCTCTGCATATGTCATCCACTAAATGATCCAATATGATCTGAAACCAGATGCGCTTAAACAACCAATATAGTTTTAAATGGTTGATCGTTAAACCCATTCCACATGATGCTTAAATCCCATCTAAATGGTCCTAAGGGTATGGGACGAGAACAAGGGTACCAATGAACCCACAAAGGACTGGCAACTGATCTTTTTCGGTACACCGTTGGGGTCAAGAATTCTTGATCCATACACATATATACCCAAGAAAGCTGCTGTATCAAATCAAGCCTTGACCCCTAGTGTTTGGAACGATTCTGTGCAATGGGCCGACCAGTTGATTTCTCATGGGCCGAGCAGCCAAAGCTGTCATGTCCAACAAGTTCTTGGCGTCACATCCTCCGTCGCGGAACGACGGGAGACTGTTGGACGAATATGGGGCTTGGGGAACTTCGAAGTATGTACGACCTACGTGCCCAACAAGTATGCATACATATACATATATATTATATAGAGAGAGAGAGAGTACAATGTGTATATATATATATGTATGATATATTATACAACTATATGTACATACATCATCAACCTACTTTCACCAATTTTACCTCAGACCAAAAACCTTCCCAGTTGCGGCGCCGAGCTTCTAATACCAGTCTCTTCCTCCATCTCCCGAGCCATGGCACCTCCAAAGTCACCATTTCCATCTAGCATTCCAGCAGGAAGGGCCATGTATTGCGGCTGCACGGTGCAAACGTTGTCAATACCTGGCTCGTTATGGGGCGCGCAGCTGTTGTTGGTCACGGTGATGTGGGGTCATGTTCATTTCACCGCTTGGTCTAAGGGAAAATCTACAGGAAACCCGGGGATTTAACAGGCATCTAGGTGTTTTCGTCTACCTGTTCCTCTAACTTTTTCCTTCAAGCATTCCTAGGATAGTTGGTTTCAATGGGGATTATTGAAAAGCTACCAACTATCCAGCTCGCCCTGACTCAAGATTCTGGGGAGATTCCAGAGCGTAAGGAGCCCCAAAAGCTCTGGCTTTGACATGGAACAAAGCAAATTCCAGGGGTTAGGGAATGTTGAACCCTATTTCCAGAAAGTGCCAAATACTGATGTAAAAAGGGTTGCAGATGGTTGCAGTATCAACTCCGAGCACAAGTCTCACTAAGTGGACATTCAAAATTTCATGCATTTTGATACCAGGATTCTGGCAGGGTCTGGATTCCAGAGAAATAGGGCCACAGCCCTAGCCCCCAAGACTATACCCCAAAGCCATCTGAAACCAAGATGTCCTTGTAATGGGGATCTTTGGCACGTGTTCCTCCCCTCCCCATGCTTCAAGCACAGGCGAAAAAAAATCGACGAATCTTGCTGCCAAGTTGCGCACTTGCAGACAATATTCTTTCCCACTTTCTGATTCCAAAATCACCAGAACTGCCACTGAGCCTCCACGGAGGAAACAGATTCCTGCCAGTGGATCCCCATCACCTCGGATCAGACTCTGGTTTGTTGGGCTGGCTTGTGTCCAAAATGGCTGCAAACTAACCTAAATATGGCTCCCAATAAAAAATGACGTGTGTCAAGTTGAATCATGCAGTTTTTTTCCATCGGCCTTTTGGGACTTGCGTCGCGGCTGTTCTGATGAATTCGGAAGAGGCTATTAGCCAGCGAAATCCCGACCGTATTCGACGGTGTAGTCGGCAACCGTCATTGCTTTGCAAACAGTCAGGAAATCGTGATCCGGGTCCGCCTGTGCTGAGATAGGGACCTTGCAGATCTCAAAACAAAATTGCTCGGCCAAGGCTTTGCTGAAGGCCGGTGGGTACTCCTTGAGGCCTCCCGTGGCCCAATTACCATCGCTCTGTCGCCCAATGGAACTCGCCTTTGGGTTGGTCTTGGTCACCTGGTTCGCAATGATGGCCTGCGGCATGCCCGGGAGGTTCAGGCAGAGCAACTGCGTCGGCTTCATGCTTTTTGCTCCCAGTAGACCTTGGCTGAGCGATAGGAGTTCAACCCCAGGAAGACGCCGTAGAGCTTCGAAAAGGGGTAGTCGCCAAATAGAGGCCAGCTCTGGTTCATCGGGCTCCTTTGGGTGCTCGATTGCGGCAACCCCTCCTGTGTCGGCCAGCCTCAAGAAGGCTTCTGCAGCAAAACACAGAAGAAGGTTGCCTATACAGACCTGATCCAATTCCCGTAGTCGCAGTTGTGGAAAGCCCCAAAGATCCTCCAAACTGCGTAGGACTCGAGGATGTGATCCCTTGGAGTTGGTGGTCTGTACTGCACGGGCTTTCGACCACGTCTCGCATGGTGGGCCGGCAAGAAAGGCAATAGTCCAGCCTCGTTCAATGCTGTGAAACCAAAAGGCACGTACCTCTTTGTCAGCAATGTTGCCTTTCTCCTTGTCGACGATGATGTCCAGGGAGACCGTGAGGACGTAGATGCCCTCCGACTGCTTGGCCAGGAGCGCGTCCAGATAATACTGGAAGTCCCCCAGTCGCCGCCTCCCTGAGAAGGCGTGGAGCACAATGCGATACTTGCCAAATTGGCGAGGTATCGGCCAGTCTTCAGGACTGCAGAGATCCAGGAGGTCATGCTCGATGCTTCCCAAGTCTCGTCCATCAGCAATGGGCTGAGTGGAGCGCAGGAAAGACCAAGTGTCGGGCTGTAACAGTCGGTCGACAAGCTGGAGCAAGACTGTCTCCCCTCTCAGTAGAATACTGTCTTCCTGGTTGTGTTCCTGTATTGTAGCGCGGACGCGATGCAGCGTAGCGGTACACAAAGTCCAGGAAATAGGGTGCTCCATGATGATGTCCCGAAGGTTCTGCTCCAAGTCAATGAAGTCCTCGATCTCCACGAAGGCCAGGCAGCACGCATCATGGAGAGGCCAATGAACGGTCTCAAAGTCCCGCAAAAAGTTAGCCTCCAGGCGAGGCCCAGCTGCTTGAAGTGGCGGGAGGAGTCTGTCATGAGCTTGGACCAACTCCTGTTCTTGCGTAGATCCTGTCCCCGGTATCGGGCGCATTCTGGTCTGTCGTCCAAGAAGGTTTTGTCGGCAATTTGCGGCACGTAGTAGATGTGCTTTCAGCTTTGTAGCCGTGTGGTATTCCTTGAGGCAGCATTGACACTGCGTGCCCTGAAAAAGGGTTCTCACTGGGTTCACTTGGCCATGGATTCTGCACATGTGGGCTCCTTCACCTCCCTTGGATCTGAAGCTCATGCCGCAGATCATGCACCCCCAACGACGTGGCAAGGTGGTCTCCGAAGGGACAAAAGTCGTTGTGGTGGGTGTAAATCCCCAGCGGCGGAGTCGTTGCAGAATGCCGGTGTGGAACTGAATGAGATGTTGTTCTCTGGCTCGTTGTTTGCGGGCATGTAGTCCTGCTCGACGAACCAGGCGTCTCCAGTAGCTCCTGTGATCTTTGGCAACCGCAAGCCAGGCTGCGAGGTGTTGTTGAGGATCACCCAGGTGTGTGGCTCCCTCAAGTTGGAAATACATCCAGCGGAAGTCGTCCTCAATGAGGGCCAGCCAGAGATGATCTTGGTTGAGTACCCCCCAATCCACAAGGTGTGAGCACGCCAGGAGTGTGCCAAGGTATCGAAGCCGCTGGATTCTGAGTAATTCCGTTGGTGGTGGTAATAAGATTTTTTCTTCCTAACTGGGGTTGGGAAACACAACCGGGATTGCAGAAGACATGTAGACAAAGACATCTTTGATACTACTCCGTTTCTTAAGAAAGAGGACCTGCAGTTAGAGAATGGATTGACATGAATTGAATTGACCGGTGGCCCCACACACGCTTGCACCTTAAAGGCAGCTACAGACTCATGGGTGGGCGGTACAAGATAAAAGATTGATGACCAGCATGCAATGCATTGCTCCCCTACCATCATGCGTCAAGCACCAAGGCATCTCAGAGCTAAGATGGGCATGCGTGATAATTGCTACTAACAGCTCATGGGTGGGCGGGAATGGTTCCAAACATGGCCCCATGCCCCAGCCTGGCATGCTGAATACCAGGCACTCACTCAACCCGCTTTTTCTCGCTAAGCGGGGTTGCGAAAAGCGACCAGGGTTGCAAGATTCTTTGGTAGAAACAGCTTTGCCCAGTCGGCGAACGCAGGGGTAAACGATCACTCAAACTCATTTGTGGCGATTTAGCTTCACTGCTTCCTGAGCTTTGCCCTTTTCACTGGCTTCCTGCCTCCCCAAGTTTGCCTTTACCTAGGCCTTGCCTCCAAGCTCTGCATGGGTACATGCGCAATCGATGTCCATCTTCGCGTTTGGCTTGCTGTGGTCTTGTGCTTGGGATCGGGCGCCGCGTTCTGGCTCCAAAGGGTTGTAGTTGCATCTTCTCCTGCAGCAACGCAGCGCAGCGAGCAGCGAGCAGGGCACACAACTGTGAAGCGCGTTGGCTTGCGGAACCGAAAAAAACAGGTAGTCAAACCTGCTGCTTTAGCGCGGCTCTTTGCCGAAGGTGGTGGTTGCGCGTTGCTGCAAAAATGATTGCTTAAGGGCACCACGCCCGGCGGTCGAACTTAACACAGCACCACGTGACATGTGTCAAGGCCAGATCCAATATATGAAGTTCTTCCAGCGCCTCTGGAAAGCCATTTTTTCAACAACGCAGGGTAAGAGAAGCTTGCCGCAAAATTTTGCTTCTGTCACAGGTGGGATTTTGCTTAATTTCCACAGCGGGCCCGGCTGGGCCATATTGCGAACACGGTTCAGTCACCCTGCAAGTTGGCGTCAGATTTGTGCCGCGACACTGCTGCAGCGTCATTGGCAAAAACAGCGATCAATGGGAGATTTTAGCGCCGGCTTCCTTTCAATTACCAATGGAAGGAAACTGTTATACTTTTCCTATTCTTTTGTGAATCTCACACCAATCGGGCGCACGGCGCCATATCGATCCAGATTTTGTTTCAACGACGGGGGCCATGCTGCCGGAAAAAGACATGTGTTTCCGATCCTGGTGGGGCCCAAGAAAACATATACGAGGGAAGGTAATTCAGATTTTGCGCCAGGCTTCACACAATCAGAAAGGTTTTGCAGGGGCAGCTTTCAAGCCCTGTCAGGACCCTATCCGTCTTTTTGTTTGGCGAGATATGCACATGTTTTCGGCTTTTTTTGGTGTCAGATTTCAGCGACAAGGGCGGATTTTGTGTCAGATCCTGGCAACGGGGACAGATTTTGTGTCAGATCCTGGCAACGAGGACAGATTTTGTGTCAGATCCTGGCAACGGGGACAGATTTTGTGTCAGATCCTGGCAACGGGGACAGATTTTGTGTCAGATCCTGGCAACGAGGACAGATTTTGTGTCAGATCCTGATGGGATCCGACGCAAAATGTGACATGTACAATCCGGGACCGGGCCTATTATCCGACGCAAAAAATTACGCACGGCAATTGCATGGGGTTGAGTTGGATCCTGACAGGATCCAACTCAAAATGAAAGCGCTTTTTCGCAAGAACTCTCTATGCTTTGGGAAAATCTTGACAAATCGGATTTTTTTGGCAGAAATGCGTTCGTTTTGAGTTGGATCCTAACAGGATCCAACTCAAATCCACGCGGTTGCAGTGCATAACTTTTTGCGTCGGATAAGCCCGGTCCAGCTCATTGTACATGTCATATTTTGCGTCGGATCCCATCAGGATTTGATGCAAAATCTATCCTTGTCGTTGGAATCCAACGCAAAAAACAAAAAAAGGCCGCTGACATTCGAACGTTGTCATGTTTGAGTCGGATCCCGTCAGGATCTGACACAAAATCTGTCATTTTTTGGCCAAAAGATGGATAGGGCCCAGACAGGGCTTGAAAGCTGCCCCTGCAAAACCTTTCTGATTGTGTGAAGCCTGACGCAAAATCTGAATTACCTTCCCTCGTATATGTTTTCTTGGGCCCCACCAGGATCGGAAACACATGTCTTTTTCCGGCAGCATGGCCCCCACGTCGTTGAAACAAAATCTGGATCGATATGGCGCCGTGCGCCCGCTTGGTGTGAGATTCACAAAAGAATAGGAAAAGTATAACAGTTTCCTTCCATTGGTAATTGAAAGGAAGCCGGCGCTAAAATCTCCCATTGATCCTGTTTTTGCCAATGACGCTGCAGCAGTGTCGCGGCACAAATCTGACGCCAACTTGCAGGGTGACTGAACCGTGTTCGCAATATGACCCAGCCGGACCCGCTGTGGAAATTAAGCAAAATCCCACCTGTGACAGAAGCAAAATTTTGCGGCAAGCTTCTCTTATCCTGCGTTGCTGAAAAAATTGCTTTCCAGAAGCGCTGGAAGAACTTCATATATTGGATCTGGCCTTGACACGTGTCACGAGGTGCTGTGTTATGTTCGACCGCCGGGCGTGGTGCCCTTAAACAATCATTTTTACAGCAAGGCGCAACCACCACCTTCGGCAAAGAGCTGCGTTAAAGCAGCAGGTTTGACTACCTTTGTTTTTTTCCGGCGCTCGCAAGCCAACTCTGGGCCTGCAATACGCGCCTCACAGTCTTGTGCCCTGCTCGCTGCTCGCTGCGCTGCGTTGCTGCAGGAGAAGATGCAACTACAACCCTTTGGAGCCAGAACGCGGCGCCCGATCCCAAGCACAAGACCACAGCAAGCCAAACGCGAAGATGGACATCGATTGCGCATGTACCCATGCAGAGCTTGGAGGCAAGGCCTAGGTAAATGGCAAACTTGGGGAGGCAGGAAGCCAGTGAAAAGGGCAAAGCTCAGGAAGCAGTGAAGCTAAATCGCCACAAATGAGTTTGAGTGATCGTTTACCCCTGCGTTCGCCGACTGGGCAAAGCTGTTTCTACCAAAGAATCTTGCAACTCTGGTTGCTTTTCGCAACCTCGCTTAGCAAGAAAAAGCAACTTGACATTGAGTATTGAGTTGATTGGCTTGAGTGCCAATTTTCCACTTGGGTTTGCCCCGGAAAACGGACCCCGGGTCAGTTGACATGTAAGCCATGACTGGCCTGAAACTTAACAAACCATCCTCTGCAATCCCGGTTGTGTTTCCCAACCCCGGTTAGGAAGAAAAAATCTTTAATCCTGTTTGATGCAGAATCTGATCATCTGTGAGATGGCAATCTGCAGAAAGAGGAAGGAGTCGTCGAAATAGTCTGATTAAGGCTGAGTGAAGGTGCTCCTTGGTCTTGATATCTGGAACAACCCAGGACTCGGTGCCATACAGGAACTTGCTGAGCACAAGACTCTCAAACAGCTCCACTCGCTTCGACAGTTCAATTGCACCATTATGAAAAAGGACCTTCCTGTGTGTGGAGAAAGTCTTGTGGGCCATGGCAATGCGCGAATTGATCTCTTTCCGAAGATCTCCACAGTGATGGATGATGCATCCCAAGTGTTGATATTGTCCAACAAGACGGATTGGGTACGTGTCGTACTCTCCAATCACATGGAGCTGTCGAGAAGCCAGAGGTCCATAGTGTGCAATCCTGGCTTTCCTTGCACCCTTGCCTCGAAAGGCAAGAAGAATCTCAGTCTTGCCAGCAGCGAGGTTGGGCTTCATTGCATGGCTAAGACACTTGTCGATGAGCAGGCTAGCTGAACATCTGGTCTTTCGCAACAGCGTCTCGCAATGATCCGCACTCATTGCCACACAGAGGTCGTCCATCCAGCATGGTCCAAGGAACTTGTGGGGCATCTCCTCGGTTTCAACTGGACATCCAAAAAGGTTGGGCCCCTGGTCTGCAGGGAACGCATCAAAAGTTGTTCCATCTGCATCTGCCTCCTGTTGGAAGTTTTGAAGGACGCGAGACCAAAGGTAGCCGAAAATGACGTCGGCAAACGCATCACCGGGCCGAGTGCCCATGGTTGTGCAGCAAGCGTCCTGTTGTTGTCCGATGTGCCAGTGTGTGTCCAAATGTAGCGCCTGTAATGCTCTTTGAAGATGTCGAGGGAGCTTTGCCTCCTTCGTGGCATGGTCCTCAGTGAGGTGCTGTCGCAGGTCTTCAAGGATGGCATCTGGCAAGCCAAGACGTGCGGCCATCAGGGCCAATGTCTCATCATCTGCACATCCTCCCACCGCCAGAGGGCGCATTACCCGATAAAAGGCTTCGCTCAAATCAAGGAAAATAAGCGCCACTGGTCGTTGCTGTAGGTGATGATGTCGAAAGTAGGCTCGGGTCAGATGCACCCCTAGAGTGACAGGTGCTTTCCTTTGTCCTCCAATCTGTTGACGGACCAGGTACTTCTCATATACCGTCGCTTGATGCAATCGCAATGTGCGATGAATGCATTTGCCCACGTGCGAGGAAATGAGAATAGAGCGGTAGGCTTCGCATCGCTGTTTGCTCAATTTGCGTTTCCAGATTGGGACAAGTCTGCCCCCCTTATGTAGGAGAGGTTCATGTCCATGGAGCAATGTCTTCAAAAGCAAAGGATACGTGTGTCTAGCCATCTCCGTGGGACATGTGTTGCAAGCCTCCGCAGGAATGTTGTCGGGTCCCGTTGCCTTCCCTGTGCTGACCTGTCTATAAGCAGATTCAAGGGCAGTCAATGAAGGAAGTTCCTCAAGTGCTATCTCAACCTTCTCAGAGTTCAAATGCTTGAGATTTTGGATCCAGCTGTCTCTTTGTTGTTGGGCTTGGACTCTTATTCCACCTTCCATGTTGCCAAAGAACTCAATCCAGCGGTCTAGGGCTGCTTCCGGAGATGCACATGGTCTGCCTTCACGGTCCAGGACTTGTGGAAGTGGAGCAATGCCCTTGTTCTTGAGGTTGCTGGTGCCAACAAGTGGCCTCAAGGTATGGAGAATGGTTGATGCCGATGCTGTCGGTGGCAGTTTGTCCACATGGTCAGCAACACCCTGGTGTCGAGCCAACTTCAGGTCATTCTTGAGCTGTTTGGCAAACTTCCTGTATTCAACAAAGCGTCGAAGGGTCCCACATAGCAATGTTGTCATATACTGTCGGTGTGGTGCAAAGGAGTACTGGTGATGGTCATGTTTGCAAGATTGCCAAGCCTGAAAAGAGGTAGCCAGAAGCTCTCTAAAAATGATCTTTCTGGTGTGTTTGAGGGCTTTCCTGCAGGTCAATTTGCTGGCTCTCAATTTCCAGATCTCCTCGTTGATGAAGGACTTTTTGGGCCCCCTTCTCCTGGTTGGACATAGTCTGTGTAGGTCGCCATGAACAGCTCGATTGAAGGTTTGGACCTGCGTGTCCACATCTGTCGCCCAGTCCATAGTGGGAAAGTTCTCCAGGAAGCCATCCATCTTGGCCGTCCTGATGATTGTGCGGTCGAAATTGTCCTTCAATTGCCGCTCAGGTGGATTGGGACAAAAGGCGTGGAAGTCCCATTCAAGCTCGACTGCAACCGGGGTATGGTCTTGTTGTTCATTGCCCAGGTCAAGGGATTCCAGAAGTTGTGACGATGTACAACATGGCAAACGCTCCACAGGGACAGCAACATAGTCCAAACAGTGTGTCGTGGAACCTTCAGGACTGATCCACGTGGCAAGCCCTCCAACATGTAGTGGCAGCGTCTGTGGCAGAGCCAGTTGATGTTCAGCCAGAAACTGACGCCACAATGGAGTGGACTTGGATGTGGTGCAGGTGGTGTTCAAAACTGAGCAGCCATCTGCCGAACCTGGTTCCGCATTCGCATCGATCATGACATAGGGCTTATTCTCCCCACAAAGGTCATGAAGAAGTTCAGTGGTCGACGTCCACCATGTAGATCTGGTCGCTTGCGGATGGCCACTGTGAGGAGCGTGTCCCACAAGGACAAAAATGTCCAGGTGCGTAGCAACAACTCTGGCAAGCAATCTCTGAGGGTCCGCATGCAAGACCTGAACATTCTCTTGCTTCAGGAGAAGAGGGATCCTCCCTTCATATCCATATGGTTGGATCAAGTTGATCCACAGCTCCACGCCCCCTTGTCCCTGAGAAGCTCCAGAGCACAGGCGCAGAGTGTTTTGGCATCTGCAACTCCCTTCTGGTGTTCTGGCTTCCTGTATGCCGCCAAAGAGAAGGCAATGTGCTTGGAACTGTTCCACCAAATATCCGACCTTACCTGCATAGCCTTCTGGTCGGTTGTACATCGACAGGACATTGGCAGTGCAGAGGCTCAGCTGGATCTTGATGTGGATCATGCCCTGTGTCCTCGTTGGGTTCATACTTGGCGATGCAGTCTCTGGGTTGGGCAGGTTCGGTACCGGCGTATGAAGGTATCCATCATAATGTTGTGGTCCTCCAAGATGTTGGGCAAATAGAAGCCACAAATGTGGTAATTTGGTACGCCAGCTGGTCATGTCAATCTTGAGTCTGGGCAAATAGAAGCTGGAGAGCGCTTCCTGCTTCGCCATAAGATCTGTGAAGTCGTTGAAGGGTTCACCACAGTGGCCGTAGATGTGCTCCAGCTCTAGATGTCCTCGCGGAAGTGCAGTGTCGAGAAGTTGATAAGCTCCACGCAGGCAAAGAAAGGAATCATCCAAGATAGTGGCACCCTTAGAGCCACTGGCTTGATCACAGGTCAATTGTGAGTCGCTGCGGAACAAAGTGGGGACCATGTTGTTCTGGCCAATCCGCCAGAGAAAGGCCCATGTCATACCTTCTCTCTCAGCGGTGAGGGACCCTGGGATCGTGGAGCCAATGTAAAATCTGCTGGCAGAGTCGTATCTGACCTGCTGGGCAGTCCAGCCAACCAGAAAAAGCTGGTGTGTTTGGTCCGGTGTTGCGTACCTTTCCGCTAAAACAATCATCGCCCACGCATCTGGAATGCCATGCTCTTCAATCCAAGCAGTGGGATGATGTTGTTGTTGTCCCTGTAAAGATCCATCAACGTAGATAATGTACCGGTCAGGGTGCACATCACCAAGCAAGGGAATGCTATTCAAGAAAAGGTGTAGCTCGACCGGGAGCTGTAGATCCTCAAAATTGGTGTGCAACGGAAAATTCGAGCAGTGGAACAGCTCGCACAGCTCTTCAGTCGTCTTGCCAATCTTGACTCTGCTGTCCCGGTCGGTGTGCGCAACCTCCAAAGTTGACTGCGGATACATGTGGCACGAAGGCGCAACCGGTTGTGGAACGGGCCAATCCGGTGGTTGGCGAGGTTTGGCTGTATGCTCTTCAAGGGTTCCAAAAGATTCCTGGAAGTTCGCAATGACTGTGGAATGGAGAGAAGCTCTGTAGGAGGTAATAACGGCCTTTGGATGGCTGTTGGAGTGCAGGAACTTCATGTCAATGGTCTCATTCTCCAGTTGTGGAGGCTCCAAATAGTAGTAGGGGCCAATGATTTGTCCATTCGCAATGGAGAAGAAGATCTTGCACGTTTTCTGGAGTTCACCGTTGATTATGTAGGCAAATGCAATGTCCAAATCCTCCAGTAGGTCAACCTCACAGGTGTGCCCCCAGTGGGTGAGCTCCTGTTGAATGCTGGTGGCGGTCGCTGGTCTGGCGACTTCGATGAAATCCGGTAGCAGAGAATGCTCCGGACGTCCACTGTAAATCCTGATGGCTGTGGTGAGGGGTAGACAGGGCCGATGAGTGTGAGCCACCTGCTCATCTGTTAGGCCCTCCTGTTCCTTCCTCCTGTCTGGGCGTGCAGTGATGAGACGAGTGTATCTCTGCAGCAAGTTCATGCCAGGATGTACAGGAGGGGGTTGCTGCTGGCGTCTGATGTGGACATGAATGCCAAGGCCGTTTCTCCCTGGGCACGGTTGCCCCCTGAAGAGTTCAGTATCTTGATGCCACATTTGACATACATGTGTCGCTGGGTGACCCATGCTTCCCAGGCAGCTGTCCACGAGCTCAGTGGCGAGAAGCACGCTCTCAAAGAGAATGTGTTCGTGGGTTGTGACCGCAAGTTGAACAACAGGGTCATCCTGTCGACGATCATCATCAATGACAGAGACAAGAGAAGTGACCCACAATGGATGCTCGTATTGTATCATGATGACATGGGCAGTGATGTCATTGGTGCCACTGAGTGGCGATGGATACACGAGGTAGAAGTCCGTCTCCGCATTGGGGTCGATCTGATCTCTCCAAGTAGCCCTGATGGAGTCTTCCCAAGCCTGGTAGTTCTCATAGAGCTGCACGCGTCGATGGTAATGTCCATGTGGTCGTGGCCAGCGATGGTTGACATACCAGGTGGCTATTGTACATGATCGGACTTCTCCATCCCATGCCGCAGCAGATCTTTGCCAAGGCTCAAAGAGCTCTTGCACGAACTCTGACTGGCTGTGTAGGGCTGGTCGGGGCATCGCAAATTCATTGGCATTCGGATTGAATTGAAATGGAACTGTGGTTGAGGTGGTACTCAAAATAGTGTCATCGTGGCACTCAGAATGCATCCCATTGGTAAGGCTCGTAGTGGTGCTTCGCAAAATGACATTGCTCTGCATGAAGTTCAGCAGGTCATGATTGTCCTCCAAGGTGACGAATCTTGGTGAGGCTGCTGGCAGGTCGGGCCTGTAGGATGGCGGAAAAATATCCAAATGGGTTCCAGGCTCAACCTCTTCAATCTCAAAAAGGCCAAAAGGGATCTCATTCAGGTGCACTCGAAAGAAAGGAATTCGATCTCGCTCAACTGCAGGAAGGGGAAGTCTCTGCAGTAGACTGGCCCTTGAAAGAAGTCGTGGAATGCCAAGGGCAATCTGTCGTAGACGAACAGTTGTTTCAGTGGAACTGTGAATGGTTGTCAAAGCAACAGTGACAGTTGGCGTCTCTTCCTGTTCCACGATGACATGTCCAAGGATGGTTTGTGTTGTGGCCTGTATTGGACGTGGGCGAACATGATGTAGATGTAGATCGGTCTGTGGTCGATGAGGTCGTTCCACGCATCCACAATGTTGCTCTCCCAATCGGCTGGGTTGTCCCCCAGACGCACAGTGCGGGGCTGATTGCAAATAGGTTGTCTGACATGTTGGACCAACCACGTTACAATGTAAGCTACATGTCCTTCTTCTTCAACCTCAACGAAAGCTTCAGCCTCAAAGCGCCTGATGAGGTCAATGCCCCAAGGTGGGGTTGGTCTGAAGGTGTTCTGCCGATCTCGTCCTCTTGCTTGACACCACTGCTCAGGTCTTGGTGGTTCAACAGGCTGGTCTGTTCGAGACTTCCAAAGTGGTGCATTCAGCCTTCCAATTCCATTGACAGGACATTGCAGTAGTTGCATCTGATCATCGACCTCTTCTTCCTGCAGCATCTGGTCCAGTAAATTGGAGTCACAAGCTCCAATGTAGACATTGACATAATGTCCATGTTCAATGTCCATCGTGGCTGCAGGATCCTGCTCGATCTCGAAGTCATTCAGGTAGAGATGACAACGGTCAGGAGTGTCATGACAGTGCTGTTCCAGATGTAGAAGTCGGAAAAGAGACAATCGATTCACAAAATTGGGCAGCCACTGTACGTTTCTGGTGTAAGTAACTGGTTGTGATCCTCCAGGAAGATAAATCTCCACGTCGACCAGTGTGAGGCGGAGGATGGGCGCAATGGGTCCATCCTGAACCAGTTGTACCAAATAAACATCCATCTGGAGGTCTTCCAAATCCACAGGCATGGATTGAAGTCTGTGAAGACGCAGAATGTCACCATGTTGGAGATTGAAAGCATCCGCAGTAACTTGATGGGCAATAGGGCCGATCTGACTGGGGATATAGGCCGTGGCTGTCCTCCCATCTCGAAGAAAAAGAAGGACTTCATGCCATGGGTCTGCACGTGAGCTTTGGGAACTGGAACTTGAGGAAGAGTCCGTTGTTGATGACATGTGGGACGAGCCAGAATGACTGGACCCATTGTCAGTTTCTCTTCCAGTGGACCTGACTGCTGTGGCCCTTCGCGTCATCAAGTTGACAGCATCACCTTCTCCCCAGTCCCATGTGTCGCGTGGTGGATAGAGAGCATGAAGTCTGTCCACAAGTTGTCTCTCCCATTGCTCCTGTGGCACTGGTGGTGGAATTCGGATAGTGAGGCCAAGTCCCTCATGAAGCCTGATTGGGAGCCCATAGGGCAGTTCAAGACTGCCAATGTGGATCGAACATGGTCCAAGTCCTTGTTGTAGACGTGTGTCACATAGATCAGAAACTCGTCCGTGGTGAAGAACATGTCTGAAGGGGATCACAACGTCAAAGGAATGGGCAATCTGGGCAATGTTGGCACGAGGTAGATTTGGCTCAATTGAAGTCGTGAGAACTGCAGTTCTCAATGGAGTATGATGTTGTACAATCAGAAGGATGCCAACTGTGTCTCTCATCGTAGTGAATGCAGGTTCAGGGGTCACCAAGGAAGCAGAAAATGGGGCCTGTCGGTCGAAAAGGTCACCCCATACCTGGCTGATGTCGTCAACCCACAACTCAAGTTGTCGACTGAATCTCAGTGGCCTGCCCTGTGCCTGGAAGAGATTGTTGGCATGGCTGATGTAGAATGAGTTGACATATACAATCTCACCTTCCTCATCATTTTCAACTTGACCGTCCTCATCCAAAAGATTCCAAACTTGTGAGAACCAGTGCGGAAGTTCCCGAAGGTTTGTGAGCTCTCTGCTGGCGGTCATCTGACTGGATACCGCACGTTCTTCTGGTAGAGGTGGAAGGTGTGCTTCCTGAGGATCTGGTTTGAGAAGGATGGGGTCAACTTCATGCTGGGTAGTGCTCCATGGCGAAAGACCACATGCCAAACAGAGCTCGGGAACGGTGATGTTGTACATCTCCAGCATGTCGCAATTGCCGATCCAAACTTCAACCTGGGACGAAAAACATGCTCGTCTTGTCCTCCTTGTTGTTGAACTTCTCAGAATCCCAGTAGGGCTCCTCAAAGTCGAACTGGTAGTTGATGACATAGAGATCGAAGGTCCATGTAGTGAGAGTGCAAGACCAATCGCGTTCTCTCTTGCCTGCCATTCACTCAGAAAGTGGTGATGGTAGTTCCTGCGGTGAGTCCACTTCATAATCAGGGCTGATGTGCGATGCAACGCCCAGTGATGACAAGGCCCCTGGTTGTCATACCCATAGGTCATGCTCAACCGGCCTGAGTAAAAGGCGGCCCTTTCTGTGGGGCCTGGCCTTCCTCCGTGGGCTCCATGAGTTGATCTCCCGCAGAGGGCATACTCAGTCGTGGTCTCTTCGCAGCTTGCATGTCTGTCTCGATCTGCTCGGTTTGAGCTTGAAGTTGAAGTAGGGAGGTTGAGAGCGTCTTGAAACTGTCGTGGATCTTGTCTGAAGCGCTCGAGATTGTGGCTTGCCCCTCCGCAATCTCGTCGTCCTCGTCCTTGATCACGATGGTTTTGACTTTGCCGGCAGCCGTCTGGGACTGGTCCAACTGGACATTGGCCTGGTTGAACTGGTCCTGCGCTTCCTGTATCTTTGTTTGGACGTCCTTCTCTTGCTGTTGAAAGAGCGTCGCATATTCCTGCCACGTACGAATTGCATCTGTAAGGAAGGTTTTCCATGATGCGATGAGGTTGAAGCGTGCTTGTAAGGCATCCTCGAGATCCTGTCGTGCTCGTCCCTGAAGTCGAACAGCTGTATGCAAGTCTTTCGTAGCTCTTGCACCTTCCTTTTTGGCAAAGTTTTGGACTTTCATCCTCATATCTGGCGGCAATTCCATCTGCCTCGTCTTGATCATCTCGACCAACTCCTTCTCCTCTGAGGTCTGTACCGGAGAGGTTGTCGAGATTGTAGCTGGCAAGTCCGGTGGCGGCGGCATAGCCGGCCAGGAAAAGCCTGCTGGTGAGGTGCCTGGATTGTTCACAGGCATCATTTGGGGAGGCGGCAGTGTAGGCATGGGTGGAACTGGCATTCCATGCATTGCGTAGCCAGGCCATGGTATCTGTGGTGGTGGAAGTGGTGCCGCCACGCCTTTGCCTTTGCCCATGCCTCCCCCACGTCCTTTGCCTTGTCCTTTGTGTTGCCCCTTCGGTGTCTTCGCACTGTTGGAGCGACGCCTGGACTTCGGCGTTTGTGATCGCGAGGGCTGCCTTGCCCGATTCCATTGTTGTGTTGGGTCCCAATTGGACTGATCGTAGTTCCAACCCGCGGTTTGATGTCCTTGTCGGCCACCTGGTTGATGAACATACGTCCTGTCGATGACATTTTGCCAGGGCTGCTGACAAGTCTGGCAGTATGTCGCAGCGTGTTTGCGCAATTGGCGACACCCTGCACACCTCCACGGCGCTGTGTCCGCCATTGCTGCTGCAATGGTCGCAAGGAAATTGAGATCCCTTGAATGATGCCCTTTCAGGATGGTCAAGATCTTGCGCAATTTGATGGTGCTCAAATGAATCACCCCAACTTTGTGTAGGTGCCACTGTCTTCTGGCTGAGGCTCTTGCACGTCGCAGGGCCCGTCTTCTTGTAGCCAAAGTCGTGGTGGTAGAAGGTCTCTTCAGCAATGTTCGAGGAGCCGAACTCAAACTCAAACAAGAAGGTGAAGATCGCAAAGACAAAATTTACCAAATAACCCATGTAGAGCCCGAACGAGTCGTGGAACACAAGGATCAAGAGGTAGAAGTCCAATGTGCAAGCCCGATTGTGAGGTCAATCACAGGGACGTGCACAAAGAGGTCCAAAAGCAGATTCCAGGGCGCAACCAGTTAAGAAAGTGCAGATGGAGCCGATTGTATTGCAATCACCCGGGAGTTTTTGGGCTCCGGGACGCCACTAATAACAAGCCAGCAAAGAGAGTGAAGAAGGCACTGACAAAGTCAAAGTGCAGAAAATCACAAGTCGATGTGGATGTTCAGAAAAGGCTAGCAGAAAGCGAAGTAGCCCGCGGCAAAGGAACCCAGATTGCCGCTAAGGTTGAACGGGAACAAGCTTGCGAGAGGGGGCTTGACCCGAAACCTTAAAAACCGTTCTGAATTGCTGCTTGCTTCTTGAAGAAGTCTTCCAATCCGTTCTCATGAACCTTGGCTCTGAAGGCAGCCACCTGCTCATTGATTTGGATGTTTGCGCTCTGAGGAGGCACGGCTTCGGACAAAATGTCCCTCATGAAGTCATCTGTCATGCTCCTGTCGAATTGTAGCACCTGTGCTGACACAGCCTCTGCTCTTGCCATCAGTGCATATGCTTCCAGATAAGCCAGATTGCCCATCCCCTGCTCAGTTTGCCTCCACGGAGCACGGACTTTGATCGTTGCACCCTCAGCTATGGCCATCATCCTTGCTAGCCACTGACCTTCTGCAACAGGCTCACCGATTGCAACCATCTCCATCAGAGAAGGAGGCACAGCTACTGCCATTGCTACATCCTGATTTGCATTGGCAGCATCTGCAATTGTCTCTCCATACTGAGCAGGTACTAGCATAGTCTTGTGTGTCCCGAAGCAGTAGGCCTTGGTCTGTGCGCCCACTGAGACCTCATACTTCTCGACAATGAGCTGCACCAAACAGTCGAGGATCTGTGATAGCACTTCAGGATTGATGACATCCGCCTCAAATAACCTGATTTGTCCATTGCTGGTGTACACAATGATTTCATCCAAGTCAGGATGGTCTTCTCCAAGTGTCACCCACCCATGTGGAGTGCTCATCGCAGTTGCAACATCTCGAGCAGCTGCTCCAACCGGTGTCACTGTTGGCACATCAGCCCCATCCTGCAATGAGGTGTAGGCATCATTGCCTGCATCTGAGTTTTCAGTCATGACTCTGGATTGCTTGGTTGTATACCAACTTGTCTGGTGGACAGCAAACGTGCCTGCATCCCAGAGGCACTCATCTCCTCCAAGGACCCTCTTCACTGGTGTATCTTTCAGGCAGAATACTGTCATCGATCCAGACAACCTCTGATGTTCGATCAAGGAGGTAACTGTGTTCCAACGAGCTCGCAGGTTCACTGGCCACTGATTCCCAAGCTCAAATTCCACATTGACTCCGTTGGCCTGGGTGATTGCAGCCAACACTTTCAATGCTTGAAACTCCAATTTCGTGGAAGCCAGAAAGGTCAGTTTGTCCATGCTCCTCAGAGATGTATCCAAAAGATAGTCCAACTTCTCTCTGCGAAGCCGCTTGACACGATACAGCATCAGAGACCCTGCATTTGCTTGGATGTCTGCCTGAACCATCAGCCTTGCAGCTCCAGGTACAGTCCCTATGGGAATGGCTGTTGCCATATCTCGATACTGATTTTGCCCATCCTGCATCACTGGATTGTTTGGAGCCATCGTGGGATCATTCACATTTGCTGCTGCCCCCACATACAACCTTATGTTCACCGTTTTGTAACGTAGGTCTTGCATGTCTGCTGCTCCCATGATCTTTCTGATATCTGATCGGTGGCATTCGACCATGCGCAACAGAGCATCGGAGTGCCCTACTGGCTTGTTCTTTTGGTCTGCGAGCAAGCCATAGACTTCCCTTGCTAAGTCCTTCTCTCGGGCATGAGCTCCTTCTCTTCGTGGAACATCGTTTGACAGCAGACTTCTTGCTAATTGCATGTCCCATTCTTTGCTCAATCCAGCAGCTGCAGTCGCCGCAGTTCCTGAATATGCCAGCGCATCTGACAGCTCATAGGAAAGCGCCTTTGTGCTTGCCTGTGGTACCACTCTGACAGTAGCAGCTCTATGATCAGGTCCATTGTGAACTCCTGTGGTCAGATAAGACACTCCAAGAACTACATCAGCCCTTCTCTGTACTTGATCTGCCTGACCCTCATCCAACCTGCTCATCTCCACTGACCTTTGGACTCCAGCGCACAAAACCGCATTTCTCCTTTCATTGAATCCAGCATTTGGTGCTGGTAAGGGACATAGGCTCCTCACCATGTGCATGCTCAGAGGGCTCAGCACTTTTTCATCTCCTCTGTTCGTCATACGCTCTACAGCTAGTGAGATCACCGTAGGAGTTTCTTTTGCCAAAATCCCTGATCCATCCTTCCAAGAGAACTCGCTCAACTCCACTGCGTGGGTCTTGACCGTATGAGTTCCCACCCTTGTCATCTCATCTTCTTCTTTCAGAGCTTCTCTTTTCTTCTGTGGATCCTTCTTCAGCTTAGCATTGTTGAGATCTCCTACGGTTTGGCCACTTCTTTCCATAAAGACCACGTCCAATTCCACCGGCTGTTTGAGGCTCTTGTACTTCACCTCGCCTTTTCTGACCTTCCCTGCTACTTCTGCACTCGATTGGTTCTGCTTCTTTCTGATGACCACATGTAGCTGTTTTCCATTCATGCCTTTCTGCAGAACATCTCTTACCTTCTCCTTTTGCTCCTCATCAGCACAATTCGCACTGTTGGGCTCTAGTTTGGCCACCACTGCACTTTCATCTTCGAGTAGGCCAACATGTGTTGCCTTCACTTTGACTTTCTCTTCAATTCTCATATGTTTCATTCCCCATTTCATGAGACCTGAAGCTTCTGAGGCCATCCTCTTGAATTTTCCTCCGTTGTCCATCTCGTGGCTATATGGCTCTCCTGGTGAATTTAATCCCAAAACTGCCATCTGCTGGTTTGACGCACTCAACTTCTGCATCGCCTCTTTCTCATTTGTACCTTCATAGGCACCATCAGAAGCCTCTAGCAGGTCTTTCCTGCTTGAGGGCGATACAGCTAGCCCAAAATGGGCTATTTTCGACTCCATTGTTGCATCAGAGTCTTGAGCCAAAATGGCTACGGAAAAAAATATATGTGTGTGTGTGTATTATATATTATGTATGTGTGTGTGCTTAAAAAACAGGCTTTAAATGAAGATGGCCCTTCCCTCACATGGATTCATTGATCGTCAGAGCACAGCAGAAACTCTGCTCCCACAGTTTTTCCGGTCTGGGTAGAGTTACTGTGAACTGGACCATCTTCCAAGGGAAAGCAACGAAGCATCTCGCATCTCAACAACCAACTTATTCCAGCTGCACCCCAGTTGTTCCTGAATCAATCCCCATGTTGCCATGTTGGCTCAGTGAAATCCTGACGGATAAACTCAGCCACCATCCAAGTGGCGGTCATAGACCTCTGATTTAAGCTTCACAAAGCCCACTTTCTTGCCGAACATGTCAACTGACTGAACCTGTCTGGATCAGGGTCCAGGAGCATGTTTGTTTCCGCTTTTTGAACATCACATTCTGGGTGGCTTCAGAACTATTTAGTAGCTGTTTCAAGTGGCGGTGTTTGAGTGACTGTTTGAGTTTAGCCAAACATGGGGTGCCTAAAAGAATCGAAAAACTGATAACTTGGCAAGAATGAGCGAAACCTTCAGATATGTCAATACTATATGTGAGTAACGTCTTTAGGGTTTTGTTGAAGCATCAAAATCATTGGTTCCCAGGTCGCAAAATCCATGCATCCCATTCTGTGTGCTCCAGATTCTGGTCTTCAAAGGTCTTCACTCATCCCACCATGGCGCGTGCAAGAAAGGTGATTTCGAGTTGGTCAACGCATCTTCACCCCATCAATGCTCACCTACCGAAAGCCACCCATGTTTTTACCATGGCTTCCCGATTTTTTTGGGCGCAGCCCTATTTTCCAAATGGTTGTCCTCAGCATCGTCCTCTTAAAAGATCTTTAAAATCGCTATTTTCATGTGGCGTCCTTCCATTTTCAGAGCCAGATCACCTGGCCCAACGCCCTAATGGCCGCTAGGACACTGTCACCCTCTGCAGGCGGAAGCTGTCGCGATGCCGCTGCAGCTTCCGAAGCCAGTCCTGGAAAGGAACGAAGGAAAGCGCCTGCTCCAAAAGGGCTGGGCCTTGGACAAGGCGGCTGAGACTTCAGGAGATTTTGAAAAAAAAAATGGAGAAATATCGGATATGGATCAAAGCCCGGTCCCAGTCCGGTTTCTTTTGCTTCATTATCGGGCTTATCACCCATACGTGTTGGTTACCATCTGATAATCCAACGTGGCAAAGGAAAATCCTTCACGTGAACCCATGTTTTACCCTCTGGTAATTCAACAGTTCGCTATGGAAAATCACCATTTTGAATGGGAAAATCAACTATAAATGGTCATTTTCAACAGCATTCAATAGCTATTCATTGCTGATTTTCCCAGTCTCCACGTGCGCTCGAGCGGCTCACGTTTGCCTCCGCTTCCACCAGCACAGGCCCAGCAGAACTTGCCAGGCGCCGGCGACGTCGGCCAAGGACCAGGCCGAGGAGAAAGGCGGAGAGGAGACAGACCTGGGATCCAACGAAACTGGGAAAAATCTATCGAAATTTCATGAAAAATCTATCTGGTTGGTGGTGCAATAACCGTCTTGAAAAATATGAGTTCGTCAATGGGAAGGATTATTCCCCCATATAGGAAAAATTACTTTACTTCGTGTGATCCCCACCATGACATTTATACATTTTCTTACTGGCAAATCTTCTGGCATTCTATCTGACATATCTTCTGACATTCTATTTGACATTCTATCTGGCATATCTTCTGGCATATAATCTGGCATATCTTCTGGCATATCTTCTGGCATTCTATCTGGCAAATCTTCTGGCATTCTATCTGGCATATCTTCTGGCACTCTATCTGACATATCTTCTGGCATTCAATCTGGCATTCTATCTGGCATATCTTCTGGCATATATTCTGACATATCTTCTGGCATTCTATCTGACATATCTTCTGGAATATATTCTGACATATCTTCTGGCATATCTTCTGGCATATCTTCTGGCATATCTTCTGGCATATCTATCTGGCATATTTTCTGGCATATTTTCTGGCATTCTATCTGGCAAATCTTCTGGCATTCTATCTGGCATTCTATCTGGCATATCTTCTGGCTATCTGGCATTCTATCTGGCATATCTTCTGGCTTCTGGCATATCTGGCATTCTATCTGGCATATCTTCTGGCATCTATATTCTGGCATATCTTCTGACATTCTTTCTGACATTCTTTCTAACTTTCTTCTGCACATTCTTTGTCCTACATATCTTCGCTACGTGGATGGTCGTGGTTGAGGTTCGGCAGGGAACACTTGGCGTGGATACTCGCGGTTGAGGTCCGGCAGGGAACACTGGGCGTGGATGGTCGTGGTTGAGGTCCGGCAGGGAACACTGGGCGTGGATGGTCGTGGTTGAGGTCCGGCAGAGAACACTGTGGATCGCGAGTCGCAGTTGAGCAAGGACGACGAGGACGACGAGGAGGACGAGGAGGAGGAGGAGAGGAGGCGGAGGAGGAGGAGAAGGAGGAGGAGGAGAAGGAGGAGGAGGCAACTGACATAAAATCTAACAACCCTCACCTGGCAGGTGGGGAAAAAACAAATGTTCCAAAGCACTAACCAGCTATAGTTTCCATTAGTTTCCTAGTTTCCAAAAGAATATCGAAATAAATTTCGATGTCTATTTAGATCCTAGATGGGGCTTCCGTAGTCATGGGGGTACCCCTTGATCGCTGGATGGTTTTTGATGGAAAATCCTAAAATACAATGGATGAGAACTGGGGGTACCCCCATTTTAGGACATCTCCATATGAATATATATGCCAATAAATTTGGTATGTTAATATGCTTGGGATCATCTTGGGATTGCAGCTGAAATTGACTGGTTTGAAACTGAGGAGTGCATGTGTTTTGTGTGTAATTATATTAGTTTATCTGAGTTTATTTATTTCATTTTATCTGTTTATGTATTTATTTACTTATTCAAATTTATTCTATTCATGTATTAAGATATTACATACATAGTGTAATAAAGCATTGATACATATAGCGAGCACATGTCCCACTAACACCCATCAACCACTTCTCTAGTGGTTTTTTAAGTCGAGAATCGCACTGCAGGAAGAAGTTTCTGGATGGAAACTGCAGTTCGTCAGACTCCATGAGCGAAGTGTTACCAGAATGACCCAGGACTCCAGGACAAAGTCCAAGAAAAGTACGATTGAAATCTGAGGTTGGTGGTTCTATGTACTCAGATGTTGCCATCAGCTGGTTCGTAAGTGGATATATTTGATATGGGTGGGATTATAGAAGTTGGCAATGCCGCCGGAATTTGCGTGTGTTTTTCTTGACAAGCACTGCTCAATCTATTTGGGGAACTCTGAAGTTTCCAAACCAAACCTGCAGGCCCCAGCACAGATACAAAACTAGAACGAATACTTAGATAATGGCAAGTTTCTTGTTATTAGCTGAGGTATATCCCAAGACATCCCAGCTACAAGGGGTTAAAGCCCGCAAATATGGTCCCCCTAAAGGCATGGATCCACGAAAATTTGCAGCGTTGCTGCATGGAGGATGCCGCGAGCGTGGACATACCAACCATGATTTTCTGGACAATAAAACACTGGTTGGTGGTTTTAACCATCTTGAAAAATATTAGTCAATGGGAAGGATTATCCCATATATTATGGAAAATAAAACATGTTTGAAACCACCAACCAGAACATATATCCTCAAAAAAATCAATGTAGAATCAACTAAAGTTCATAAAGTGGTTAAACTGGAAAAAAGTGTTGGCTTTGTTCAACAAACCCTCACCGTGAGCACTTTTATCACTGAAAAGATCTCACTGCGGTGAGACCTTGTCGCCGGTGATGATTTTTCCAGATATGTTTACACCAACTTTGGGGGTTGGGGTCCAAATCGATCAAACCATACAACGAACCAATGATGGGAACCCAGATTCCACTGGAAGAACACTTCACCGGGCATGTCGTCAGATGATCTGTGTGAAGAGCAAATGCCGATTTTGCCATTCACTGTTTGAAACCAGCACAGGAGACCTTTCAAATCAAAACGTGCTGGGGATGGTTTACAAGAATGTTATGAAAACTATATAATATCAAACATAAACAAAAATATATAAACAACAACATCACCCATATAATAAGATATGATAACTATATTATATTATATATACATATACGCTGCAGCGTAGGGGCTTCCCATTCCCAAACAAATGTTGATGCAACTTCACAAAATTCCTATGGGAAAAACAACAAAGGTACTAGGGAATATTAAACTCCCACCACCGTTAAACTTTACATTCATTGAAGATCTTCAATAAGGGTTTAATTCTCCCACCCCCGTTAAACTTCTACATTCATTGAAGATCTTCAACAAGGGTTTAATTCTGATGATGATGATGATGGTGATGATGATGATGATGATGATGCGTCGCCTGTCGTCATTGCGGGTCCGGGCAAAGCCCAGGCATTTGGCGTATATATATATAATATATATATTAATATGTAATATGTATGTATCCATCTATGAATGTGATGTGGTGAATCTTAAGTCTCATTCCTCCAAACCGCTGCTTTCTCCATGGCACAGCCCTTCACATGGCGCCGCTCAGTGCGCTTCGATGCGTTTCACGCGCACGCCTGAGACACTCGTCTCGCAAGTTGGCCCACTGTTTGTGGACACTGTTGGTGCTCTCAGGAAGAAAACACCACCTGAATCATTCTTGAAAATGGAATTGAATGACTTTATACTATAAACCATGATGTATATACCATAAACGGCCAATGCATTTTCGGCAGCACCCTCCAAGCACGTTGCGTGCTTGGAACATCTCAAAACCAGGCAGTCGCCGCTTGCAGAATTTTCCATGCACTGCACTGCAGTAGGGTACCAAGGTGCATCCACTGCCCCAGTGCATTCGGTTCCCCCTGAATTTGTGCTGGCCAGGAAATGTAACTTCTCCGCAGTTGGAACCGGAGAAACCCGGTAGAAGAAGAGCTACACTTAATTGGAATATGCGGAGTATGTGACTCCCGATGCAAATGGATGAGTGTCCCAGTGAAGATAGAGAAGGGGAACCTGCCTTTCCATCGTTTTCGGGACGCACCCAAACACATCCAAACACCTTCGGCAATCCCATAAATGACCAAACATGTTGTAGCTGAAAACATGAAGCCTGTAACAGTCCTGGAATACAAAGTTTGGAGAATGCCGATATGCCTTCATAATCTGAATATAAATTGAATGATCTCTCCCATGAAAATCATGAATTCCTCGACCCAGGTGGTGCAACCATAGGTCACAAGCAACTGTGACCTATACTCCGGAAACAACGATAATGATTAATATCAACTGGAAATCATATGCCTGACATTGCAATTGCATGACAAATGTGTTTTCTTTTGCCAGTCATGTTTATATACCCTCTGGTAAACTAACATAGCTATTGAAAATGACCATTTATAGTTGATGTTCACATTCAAAATGGTGATTTTCCATAGTTATGTTATAGTTTACCGGAGGGTAATCACCAGAAAAATTGACGTCTTTTGGCCAGAAAATTACACTGTAGATGCCATCAGAAAACAAAGTCATCGTTCAACACAGGCATCTCATCCCGATGTGGAAAATCAACAACTGCTTGGTGGTTGACCTAAAACCCCTCTGAAAAATGATGGACTGAAAGTCAGTTGGGATGGATGGAAATTCCCAACATGATGGGAAAAATAAAAGTCCAATTTCACTACGGTTTATGATGAAATTCCCAATATGATGGAAAGTCATAATCCAGCCATGTTCCAGTCACCACCAATCAGACAATTATTGAAGCCACCAATGGTCAATCCGCAGATTCGGCGCAAATCACGTGGGACTTTCGGAGCAGTCACTGATAAAAAACCGCCAGTTCTTGCGATCCACCACGACATCATCACCTACAATCATCATTTACGGTGGTGAGGTGGTTTTGAGGTATTTCTGCTAATCTAACTTGGCAATTGACAATCCCCGTTTAAAGCCATGTGTCGATTATAGATGTCCCATTGAAACCCATTGAACATGAACAAATACAGCAAACCATGTTTGATTGATAAACACAGGGTCATTTTCCCACAGAAAAAACAGTTTTCCAGGCCTTCCTTCGTTTCTGCGCGCTGCAGGGTGAACGCTTCCCCGCAGGTCGGCCCTAGATCATGGACTATGACCTGTCATTGAGGATGGGTATTGAAAGACAACATTGCTGCATTGCCAAGTGCCACATTTATCAGAATGATGATTCATAAATGGGGATGATCTAAATATTGGCTAAGATTCGATCTCCCCTAAATCATCAAAAAAGGTTCACAAAATTTTTATCATCTCCCCATGTTGATTTTATATGATTTTATCATAAAATGGTCTGAATCTTCCTGATTTCCTGTATCTTTACTGCCCATTGGCTTCCGTTCTGCCCATCCCCATGGCATCTCGCCGCGGGTTCAGATCACGAGCCACCTGGGTTTGACCCCCAGGTGTAAAGACCAGTGGATGATGATTTCAGTAAAATATGGGGATACAAAAAATGATCGGAATACATGTGGGATGTAATTTTGGCTTAATGGTTTTTTTTTGACAATATGTAGGAATATGTTAGGCAGCCACATTATGGATTTTGGAGGAATATTCCAAATAATCTCATCTCTCTAATATTTAACATCCCCAGTGTATCCTGCCAAATATGTGCAAATCCCCTACTAAACCGGCCCCAAAAAATAGGTGAAGCACACGCCAAACTGGGCTGACGCCCATTGTTCATGTGGAGGCTTCCTAAAATAGGGGTACCCTCAAATCATCCAATCATTTGACCATTTTACCCTCCGGTAAACTAACAGTTTGCTATTGAAAATGGCCATTGAAATAGTGGATTTACCCAGTAAAAATGGTGGATTTTTCCATAGCTTTTTGTACGTTTACCAGAGGGTAGTATTGAAATCCGTGCTGACTTGGAGATCCCCCATGACTTAAGAAAGCCCCATGTGGAGAGTCTGGTTCTCATCTTCTGTTCACCATCGAATTTTCAAGGTACCAGTAGGATGTGTCTGAAAATATGGTCCCCAAGATTTTTCATGATTCAGCACCAAAAAAAATCCACATGATTAATTATATAAGATTGCAATAAATTGATTTCAGATGGACCCAACTATCATTCAAGTTTGTTTATCCCATTACATTCCCAATTTATATCCAGTGAAAAATTCATGGCTCTATTGATAAATTCCTCTTAAACAGATCCCAAGAATTTCCAAATCCATCAAATGATAAACCACACTTCCCAAGATGCCAACCATTCGTTGCGGGCAAGCATCCCAAGTGGCCGGGTGCCGTTTGAAAGGCTGCCAGCTTGGCCTCGAAAAAAACTTCTCAGTACCCCATGACCATGGTAATAAATTCATGAATTTGCCCTCGGAAATTATCTAAATGGTTCTAAGCCGTAGATGCTCCACGTCCATGTCAGTTTAATGGAGGGTAAACCTTGCAAATTTCCCCTTCAAACAATGTACCGAAACTATGGATATCAACTAAGAACTAATATCAGCAGCAAAAAGGATGGAGGGAAGAAAAAAACACTCAAAGTACCTACGGAATGTGTTTTTTACTTGAAGACAGAAGCTATTCAACCCGCACTGCCACTGTTGCACTGGGGGTTCCCCTCTTGACCGTACGAGCCACGCGTGGTGGGTGGGGGCCAAGTCAAAGATCAAACATGAGCATAGTGAACCGAAAAGAGTTGTATCCATACACCAGGAAGGATATACCCATCCCAACAGCCCTTGAGCTTGGAAACAAACATGCAAGCCAATCTGACTAGTGCAAACTCTTCGTATATCAATAATTATAATCGATATTAATCGATTAATTATGATAGGTTTTCACATAAGGTAGGATTCGCTCTGATTTTGTGCGTTTCTGTTTGTTGTTTGGAGCAGCCGCAAATATTTGTGATGTCATAGCTACCTAATTGTTCTATTCATTTATATTATATAATTATATATATATTTATTTATTTATATATATATGTATAGTTATTTATATATATATGTATATTTATTTATGTATATATATATATGTGTATATTTATTTATATATATATATTCAAATATATATATATATATACACGTGTATATTCTCAAACAACTTTGGGAGTTCAACTTGAAACCCGGGAATATAATGCCCCTGTATTTACCCGCCATAAACTTAATGTGAATCTCAATCAAGCATTAACAGTTAAGCAGAGCAGGACAATTGTGTAAAATCAAACGTTAAACTTCAGAACCGAGTTTTTGGGATTCCATATGCCATCTGGTTATTTAACATATGGAAAATCACCATGCTACTAACAGGTAAACCATCTATTTCGATTAGGGCCATCTATACCATGGCTATGTTAGTCATAACCAAAGGCTATCCTGATTTTCAGGGATGTAAACCGATTTTTGCTGATGATTTGGCCCAATTTGTTGCTAGGATTTGCTGGGTAAATTCCAATCCTTGCTTGTTTTAAATGCCATGTTTGCTGATTACCCTCTGGTGATTTATGATGATTTACCTATTAATAGCATGGTGATTTTCCATGGCTATGTAACAAATAACCAGATGGTAAATCTATGTAAATCTCAACTCTTGCTGGTTAAATCGCCATGTTTGCTTGTTAAACTGCCATCAAATCACTCGTGAAATCTCACCGGCGGTCACCGAAAAAATTCGTGCTCCATCCCAGAGTCACCTGCTTGCAACTTGCGGTCGGACCAGGCAAACCTGCAGAGCGTAGGAGCTAGGCTGGCAGTGACTAGGCGGCTGCCTTGTCAAGAAATTGTTGGAATAGGGCTGTGCCAAATCTAGACATGATTGGCTTACTGGTGCTAAACGCAGGGAATTTTCGGGAATGATCCATAATCACTAGTAATAATCATCCCAGCAACCCCCATTCCCAACCCAGCAACCCATCCATTCCCTACGAATTAAGCACCAGTAAGTTGGAATATGGTCACCATCAGTATCAAGAAAATGTCCTATCCCCCAGTGGGGAAATGTGGCATGGAATTGTGGCGCATCATTCCTGGGAAACTAACATTGCCATGGCAATCCATGTTATGATGCCACGTTATGAATGCAATGAATGTGGCATCATTCTTGTGAATCATTCCTATTTCTTGTTTTTTCCAGGTTTTTTCCCATGATTAGGAATGATGGACCGGGTGGATTCTTAGTGGCTGCAGTCCTCCATTGCCGGTGGTCCTTCGTTTGGATTCACAGTCCATGATCCCAAGTAGTTGCAGATGATAGGGGTAAAAAAAATCACAGGCAATTTGCAAGAACAAGCACGGAAACCAGTCAGATTATATATGGTTATCGATTTCCAGCCATTTGACCACCAAAACTCACCGAAATCGAACCCATCGAACCCCCGCCCAGGCCGAACCCAACAGAACCCAGCTGCTGCCCTCGTCCAACTACAAAAGACTTGCCAATCACTGCTGGTTGGTGGTATACCTACCCCTCTGAAAATGATGGAGTTCGTCAGTTGGGATGATGAAATTCCCAACTGAATGGAAAAAAAAATGTTCCAAACCACCAACCAGATATCATGTGATTATTTCTGGAATATGTTGTTCGATGTTTATCCCATGTTCTTGACCAATGAAAAATTCAGAGTTTCCATGTAGCCATGTGCAAAAAATACCAGAGGGTATCAACAAAAATCATGTACTGTAACGCTCACATACCCTTTGGTAATTTAACAGTTTGCTGTGGAAACCATGGCATATTTAGCGCGATGGTTTACAATTTTTAAAAATGGTGATTTCCATGACGCAACCTGTTATTAATAGATTACCAGAAAATAACCCATTATTTTCCAATCATTATCCCAATGACGTCCATAAATCCCTACTTATTGTTGCTGGCTATAACCCTGGGAGATACCTACTGTACATATATCACAAAATTACTTTCTTCGAGTGATCCCGACGCTACACACTATTCTGACATAGTTTCTGACATACCATCTGGAAGTATGTATGGCATATATTCTGACATTTTATCTTGCATCTTTTCAGGCATTCATTCTGACATTCTCTATCTGGCATTCTAACTGGCATTCCATTTGGCATTCTATGTGGCACTCTATCTGGCATTCTAACTGGCATTCCATTTGGCATTCTATCTGGCATTCTATTCTATCTAACATTCTCTATCGGATCTATCTGGCATTCTCTATCTGACATTCTCTATCTGGCATTCTAACTGGCATTCCATTTGGCATTCTATCTGACATTCTATTTGGCATTCTATTTGGCATTCTATTCTATCTAACATTCTATGTGACATCTTGCACTCGCAATTGAGGTCCCGCAGTGCCCGCTGAGATCTGGCTCTCGCAGTTGAGGTCTGGCAGCCACTGAGCTCTGGCGCGCGCCGTTGAGGTCCGGCAGTGTCCACTGACATTGAGATCCGAGGCTGCCAAAGGAGAAGGAGAAGAAAGAGAAGGAGGAGGAGGAGGAAGCAACTCTGATAAAATCTAGAGACCCTCACCTGGCAAGTGGGGAAAAACAGGGTACTCACAATACTCTCTGGTTATTATTTAACATATATATATAGCTATGGAAGCCATGCTCCTTTTTAGTTTGATGATAAACATGAGGATTTACCTGCTTTAATTATGACACAAAAAATGATTGTCCTTGGCAAAATGCTCAAAAATCATGTAACCTCATGTAACCATGACCATTCTTGGACTATAGAAACCCTCATGAAAAATCCCATGAAATCCCGGCATTTTCCCATCACAATCCAGGATCCACCTCGTTTCCTGTTCTCTGCATCGGCTTTCCGCACGGAGGCCTCGTTCCAGCGGATGCAGCGCAGCGAAAAAGTGCGAAGATGTGGCGTTCTGTGATATATAAAATACATGGAATATAGGACGTATAATTGAGTATACCTGAAACATATGTTAAGCATATTGAATATCGATTAAACATCTGTTCAATCATTATCGAACACGATCAAAGCAACGGCGCAACGGCAGCCAAAACTCCCGGCACCTGGGAGCGGAAAGCTCGTGCACGTGCCTGGTCCACTGTAGCACATCATCTCTGATGATTGGATGTGAAACTGGTACATCTTTTACCATGTCGATCCGATCGTTGCTAGTTACCATCTGGTTAGGACATTCACAGTTTGCCATGGAAAGATCCACAATTTTTAATAGGTAAACCATCTATAAATGGGCCATTTCCCATGGCTATGTTAAATAACCAGAGGGTATATTATCTGGTTGGTGGTGCAATAACCATCTTGAAAAACATGAGTTCGCCAATGGGAAGGATGACATCCCATATATTGTGGAAAAACAATGTTACCACCAACCAGCTATATATAATAGGGGATTATCCCAATATATCCCAATATATCCCAATATATTAATGATCCAATAGGTGAATGCCTATGAACCAACCAGTATATAACTAGTCTATGTTGATCTCTCCAGGATGCTTCTTATCTCCTTTCGATGGTTCGAGGGGCCCAGTTTGAAACCAGGAACTCTGTGAATTTGCCTTGAAATCAGCAAAACCACTGGAAGAAACGATGGGTCCGGAATCTACTCTCTGGTAATTTAACATAACTATGGAAAATCACCATTTATAGTGAATTTTCCCATGAAAAATTGTGATTTTCCATAGTTATGTTAAATTACCAGAGGGTACTCTCTTTCAGATTCACATCCAAAGTTCAACCAGTCCTTCCGCCACACAGCATCGACATCGATGCCGCCTGCACATCTCTGAGCTGTGACAAGGGAGCGCCATTCGCCAGGAGAAAATCCACGTAGCAGGACCAAAGCTCACAGGCCTCCACATGGATTCCACATGGCAGTGTGTCAAAACCTTGTACCCCTGGTGAACCCCAAAATAGCTGGTAAATGGATGTTCATTCCCCTAAAAATGGTATTAATAGGTATTGATCCATACCCACATGGGTAAAACAATCATAAACCATGCCCAATAACAACCCATTCTTATAGGTGGTATGTTTACCAATCCCAAATGGATGGTTAAAAACGCATGGTTTTTCCCACATCATTCAAATATTATCTGGTTGGTGGTTTCAACCCCTCTGAATCATATTAGTCAGTTGGGATTATTATTCCCAGTAATTATATGGAAAAATTAAAAATGTTCCAAACCACCAACTAGCAATAAATCTTCAGCCATTTGTGGTAATCCAATGTTACCACAGTTTTGAGCAATACCAATCTCGGTCCGGAAGCACAGGATTGGACAGCGGTCAGCTCGGCAAAACCAGTCGATTTGGATAAAGACATCAACCAGCTGTTCATGGCACTTTATGGCTACATCTTTGGCGCATATCAGATCTTCACCAGCCTCCGGCAGCGGCGCTTCCACGTGCGAAGGCGTCGCGCCGGCGTCATTTGCCAGGCAACGAAGGGCCTGGAGCAAACCAAAACCCCAAAAAAAACACGAAACCATGGGAAAGCCATAGGAAAATGGTGATTGAACCACTATAAAATCTATAAATGGGGATTTAACCCCAGGTGATTTTGTGTGGTTTAACAATGGCTTAACAATGGTGAATTTCATGGGATTTACCATGGGATTTACCATCGATTTTTTATTGGGGATTTACCATCGATCACCTGGGTGAATTGAGATTCAATGGATTGATGAACAGGATTGGCGAGTAGAATCATGGTCAATCTTTGGTTCACAAAAAAATAGGGATCTTTTGCTGGCTGTTGATGTTCTATTTAATTTATAGCAAAAACCTATACCATCTGGTTATTTAACATAGCCATGGAAAATCACCATTTTTAATAGGTAAACATAGGTAAACCATCTATAAATGGGCCATTTTCCATGGCTATGTTAAATAACCAGAGGGTATAGGATTACTGAGTAAAGTTTCCTGTCCAAGGGTGGGGATGTAATGATGTAATCCTCGAACTAGTTGTCAAGCAAAGTTGCTGAACACTGCTCATGTGATGCTGGTAAGCCACCACTCTGAAACATTTAGCACACGGGGTTGACATTCTCGAAAAAATCTCTGAACCAACCTAGGATGTGAAAATATCTGAAATCTCTGTGTGTGTGTTTTTCCTTTGAAGCCATTTTTTGAAATATGGGAAGTGGGGATTCTATCCGAAATAATGTTGGGTCACCTCCTATGCTGTTTTTTGGGCGGCCAGTGAAGGTCCAGAGGACCCAGAACAAGAGCCATAGTGCTGATGGCCATTGTTTGACAGAACGGGGAGATAACCCTTCGGGTACGCTCCAGCTCCTGGTTTGGTGAAAACCACCTCATGTTATGATGGAAAACTGACCAAAAAAAAAAGCATGTTCCACCCATCGCAAAAACAAAAAAGGCATTCTGATTCCTCATCCCTTACCCTCTGAGGATTCAACGTAGCTATAGAAAATGATCCATGTACGGATGATTTACACCCGCATTTACCCAATTAAAGTGGTGAGTTTCCATAGCTATGCTAAATAATCATAGGGTAAATATATGGAGGTGTCCTAAAATGGGGGTACCCCCAGTCATCATCCATTTTAATAGGATTTTCCCTTATAAACCATCCAGCTATTGGGGTATCTATCCCTACCCAGGCAGGCCATCTTCGAGACTTGCCGGAGGTCCTCCTCAAAGAGCAAGCAGCTCTGCCGCAACGGAAGACCTGAAAAACCAGCGGCAGTTGCAGATTGCTGGGGTTCTGGGACCCTGGGATGGTTTTGAGGCATTTTGGAAGTAAATCTCTGGCTTGGCAGAAATAAACTTACTGGTGCTAAATGCAGGGAATGGATGGGTTGCTGGGGGTTGCTGGGATGATTACTAATAGTTATTCTGGATCATTCCCTCATTCCCTGCGTTTAGCACCAGTAAGATAAACCAAAATCTGAAGTGGACATGCAAATGTATGCTCCTAGGTGATCTATCTGGACTATATCAATGCCACTCCGGAACACCCAAATCTGCTGTACATCTCCCCAGTGGCCCAACCCCCTGGCATGGCCCCTCAGCATGGCTTGCCTGTTGATCCTTTCTGTTCACCACGGCTGAAGCGTACCAGAAGGGACCTGGGTCTGCACGCTGTCTGAGACACCCTCATCAAGCCAAAATACACCACTCCTGGTGCAGAGAGATCAAAGAAATAATCTTTGTTCAATTTCCATATGTATATGCTGTGTAATTATATATGGCTCTATGACTACATCTATACATGCATAGTATATACATGCATAGTACATACATGCATAGTACATACATGCATAGTAGTGTATTACTGTATATACATGAATTGTATATAGACAAGAATCAACAGATTGTCTTACTAGATACTGTTCTACGATGATGCTGGAAAAAATATCTTACTACGAGTGAGCCCACCCACACATCATTCTGACATAGTTTCTGACATATCATCTGGAAGTGTATATGGCATATAATGTGTATATATATATACATATATGTATAATATTCTGACATTCTTTCGGGCATATACTCTGACATTCTATCTGACTTATTTTCTCACACTCTATCTGGCAGTCTTTCTCGCACTTTATCTGACATCTATTCTGACATTCTTTCTGGCATATATTCTAACATTCTTTCTGGAACTCTATCTGACATACGTTCTGACATTCTATCTGGCAGTCTTTCTGGCATCTATTCTGACATTCTATGTTCCTGTCCAGGCGTGGCCGCATCCGGAGTTAGAGACCCTCACCTGGGTCGGGAAAAACATCTTCGAATCAGTAAAATCCCGAGTGCCGGGGTACATCCATGTACATCCATGTACATCCATGTACATCCATTCCTGCCCAAATCCCCAGTTTCATCCATACTTCAACCAGCAACCTGTGAACATACGGTCAGAAAGCCCAACAAGGGGCCCGACGTAAGCTCCAACAAGAGACCCACATCTCGACAGCCCGCCTGCCATGTCGCAAGTAACGACCTCAGCAGACCCAGCCCCAACCAATGGGGATGGATCAAGTGGTGAACTTTCGGTATGGGCCCACGTTGCCATTTTGATAAAGTACTGTACTAAACAAACCAGCATTTTTTGTGCCAGAGTTTTTGTGACCCTCCATATGACAGAAATAAGGCCCATTTTCTTGCAGGTTGGTACAACAGATGGGGTGAACCATGCTACTGGAGGAGCTGTATCAACAATTGGCTCGTTGGAAGATTAGTGGTGATTGTATCAGTCGTAAACATATCAATTCATGTCCTCCGTAGTATCGAAGCTGCTCCATCTTGGAATAAGCATTCTGGTATTTGAATGGTGCAAGCTTACTTTCCTGCAGAGGAAGAAAGGCAGCATATATAAAGTACCTCGGTCTTGCCCATTTGGCGGCCAATGTTTATGTATGAGAAACATGTTCTTCTCAGCCAAGCTGCAATGCAAGCCCATTCCACTTCGCAAGAGTTTGGGTATATCAAAAACTTGGCCACAGCCCTTAATATTCACTCTGGCTGAATTATAATCCCCATCATACCACCATGTTTAATGCTTAAATCCCATTAAATCCCATTATATCTGAAGATTCACTACAAAATGTCCTGGTCTCCGGGCTGGCACGCTTTGTCCACTTGATGCAATCTGTCCTGGCTCACAGGCCCGGTGGTTGTACAAATATTGCACCCATCTGCATGTGACTTTGTTCAAAAATGATATCCTAACATAGTAAGATTACAAAAGACAATGATACTTTTACCATAGAATTTTAAACTAATTAAATGGATCTAAATGGCTAATAGTCATGAATTCTACAAGTCATGGATCCCCATCGGGATTTCCCATGGTTTTTCCCAGCTTTAAACTTCCATTTACTTCGGGGTTTTTGATTTTCCACCGCAGGGTATATTCCCATTTGTATCCCAATCATTAATCCCATGATTATCCCTATAAAACATGATGTGAATTCCTATACATCCCTCTAAAATCCCTATAAATCCCTACCGATCCCTATAAATCCCTATCGATCCCTATCTTCATCCCATGAAGAAAAATACTGCAAAATACCTTGCAGTCAGCATCAAACAGGCAGCCTCGCAGAGCCGTGCATAGCGCCGACCTTGGTGATGCAGAGGAGTCCACAACTCATCTTCCAAGGCCTATATGAGGGTTTCCATAGGGTACCCCCAAATGGATGGGTTTTTTGCTATGGAAAATACCATGAAAGGGGATGATTTATGGGTACCCCATAAATCAGGAAACCACCATATCTTTGAGGCGCCGATGTGACTTCATTTGGGGGAGTCGGCAGTGTCAACATTGGACAAAATGACAAAGAGAATTCACCGAACCCTTCGCCAAGTTGAGGATATACTACCACCAATCCTCATTGAGGTGGCCATCCTGGAGGCTTTCAGATAGATTGATGAGCTACAAACCGAAGGGGTGTGCACCCAAAATAGATGGTGTACAATGCTTCACCCTGTTGAAGCATTGAAGTCTTTGCTATGGAACATGGATGAAAATGGTCCGTTTTTGATCCATTTACAGTAGTTGGATCATTTACCGTATTAAACAATGGTTCCATATCATCGAGAATTATCTATGCTATGCTATATTGTCTTACCAGAGGGTAAGTCAATCTGGTTGGTGGTTTCAACCCCTCTGAAAAATATTAGCACACAAGGCGGGAGGCGTTCTCAATCGTCAGTTGGGATGATTATTCCCAATATATGGAAAAATAAATTACTTAACTTCGAGTTATCCCCACCATGACATCTATACGTTTTGTTACTGGCAAATCTTCTGGCAATCTAACATATCTTCTGGCATTTTATCTGGCATATCTTCTGACATTCTATCTGGCATTCTATCTGGCAAATCTTCTGGCATATGTTCTGGCAAACATTCTGGCACTTTATCTGGCATACCTTCTGGCATTCGATCTGACATTCTATCTGGCATACCTTCTGGCATTCTATCTGGCATGTCTTTTGGCATTTTTTCTGGCATATCTTCTGGCATTCTATCTGGCATATCTTCTGGCATTCTACCTGGCATATCTTCTGGCATATGTTCTGGCATATCTTCTGGCACTCTATCTGACATATCTTCTGGCAAACTTCTGACATTCTATCTGGCATTCTATCTGGCATTCTATCTGGCAAATCTTCTGGCGTTCTATCTGGCAAACATTCTGGCACTTTGTCTGGCATACCTTCTGGCATTCTATCTGACATTCTATCTGGCATACCTTCTGGCATTCTATCTGGCATATCTTCTGGCATTCTATCTGGCAAACATTCTGGCACTTTATCTGGCATATCTTCTGGCATTCTTTCTGACATTCTATCTGGCGTTCTATCTGGCATATCTTCTGGCATTCTATCTGGCCGTTGAGGTCCAGCGGTGCTCACTGAGCTCGGAGGGTCCCAGGTTGAGGTCCAGCGGTGCTCACTGAGCTCGGACGGTCCCAGGTTGAGGTCCAGCGCTGCTCACTCAGCTCGGAAGGTCCCAGGTTGAGGTCCAGCGGTGCCCAGTGCGCTCAGACCCTTGTAGTTGAGGTCCAGCAGTGCCCACTGCGTGCGGAAGTTGGCGAAGAGCTGGGCGAAGAGTTGGCAAGGCGGAAGTGGACATGGAAGTGGCGGAAGTGGACCTGGAAGTGGAGGACGAGGAGGAGAAGAAGGAGAAGGAGAAGGAGAAGGAGAAGGAAAACAACTGTGATAAAATCTAACAACCCTCACCTGGCAGTGTAGGTGGGGAAAAATGTTCCAAACCACCAACTAGCAATAAATCTTCAGCCATTTGTGGTAATCCAATGTTACGACAGTTTTGAGCAATACCAATCTCGGTCCGGAAGCACAGGATTGGACAGCGGTCAGCTCGGCAAAACCAGTCGATTTGGATAAAGACATCTGGTTGGTGGTTTTAACCATCTTGAAAAATATTAGTCAATGGGAAGGATTATCCATACATTATGGAAAATAAAACATGTTTGAAACCACCAACCAGACATGAAAGGCATTGTTTTCATGGAAGGGCAGTCAACATGTGTTGTCTGTAGCTTTCTGTTTGGATGCTCAGAGATATTTTGAGTGCGGTTAGCCCGGTGCTCGGCTTGTGTGATCACCCATATCGATTGGCCGAGCTGATTCTTTTAGCTATCACTTGCTTTTGTTTGGGATTCTGCTTTGGTGGTTGCGTGATTGGATTCCTTCTGAGCCCCCGCTTGCGGCTGCTAGGGTCACGATTGGTAATTTTTCTGCTGGAAGGTGCTGAGATTCGTCCAAGAGAGGGCGGTCTGGCGGGGCAGGATAGATTGCAACGTTACCGTGCCTGAGAAAGCTGTGCAAGTAGGATTGAATTTCCACACCACGGCCACTTTGCTAGAGCCCAAGTTTGCACGGACGCGTGCACCTGTGTGTGGGTGTCAAAGACCGAGGGAAAGTAGTTGTTTGAAGAGCTTGCTGTGTTTGCTTTTTGGCCTTGCTTACATTTTGATTGCTGAGCCCCTTTGCGACCCTTGCACCACGCTCTCAGAGAACATTTTCCTTCATTCAACCGCGTCTACGCCACCTTTTCTTACCTCACTGCGCGCTGTACCTTTGTCGCCGCAGGCCTGCAGTAGCTGCCCTGCATTGACAAGGTCGAGGCTGGGCTTAGAGCGCTTGATTGTGGCAGCGCTTGAGGGCCACCAGCCAAAACCTTTGCTTGAAGATCATGCCCATTGCAGAGAAAACCATCCGGAGCCTCAAGTTGGTGAACAAAAACTTGGAGGAGGTCGACCTCTTGCTTCTTCGCTGGCCTGCGGAGGGGGATGTTTGGATGCTAGCTTTGCCTTGTCGGGTCAGTCGGGGTGGCTTGATTCTAGCAGTACCGGGGAACGGAATTCCCGACGAGGATTTGAGCCAAGGCCAAGAGGCTTCTCCCGAAGACATTTTGGGACCCAGCCTTCATGTCACCATTTCTCTCCAAGCAGAAGAGAGCCTAGGGGATGCAGTGGAGGTGCTGTTGTTGGAGTTCACAATGGGCATCCGACAACAGCTGGAAAGGAAAGCTCCTCGGACTCGAAGGCCGTACCTGCGTTTTGCAGAGGCCCAGCAGCTCCCGGACATGGCGGAGTTGGACGATGCAGTAGACGAATGGGTCACAAGTGGATCCCTCCGAGATGCGGACTGGCAAACAGCTTTGGAAGAGGAGGAGAATCCGGCACCCCAAGCCGACCTGAAGGCTGTGGTGGCTGTCCTAGCAAAGCTGGAGAAGCGCGTGGAGGAGCTTCAAAAGCACCCAAATCTGCAGACTGTGAAGACACCAGCTCCTCAAAGGAAAGCGACCGCCAAGACACAAGCCGCGCCTCCGCAAATCGACGGTCCCAACGACAAGGACATGGCCGAAATTCTGCGAGCCATGCGAGAAGAGGTGGGCTCTCGGCCAGAGAGAATTGCAGACGAGCCAGCCTCTCGGATTACGGCTCAAGATTGCATCAACCTGGTCGTTCCAGACATGGCCCAGTCTTCTTCGGGCCCGTCAGTCGACGACATGATGAAAATCAGCATGCTGAAGCTCATGAAGGAAATGCAAGCAAAAGGCAGCAGGAAGAACAAGAAACTTCCGGGCCTGGTGGGCACGAACGGCAGCTCTTCCGAGGAGGAGGGAGAAACCTGGTCTTCTACCAGTCGCGGAGGAAAAGCCATCGAGGCAGTGGAAAAGCTCCGGTATGCCATGAAGCAAAACCCGGGCGCCTACTTGGAAAGGATGGAAGCTCGCATGCAGCGGGCGGTGGGGGCCGAAGAAATGGGCCCGTTGATCCCCGAGAAGTTCATTCGTTCAGTGCCTGTAGGCCGCTCGCGGACAGCAGGGTATGCACTGAGCGGCTTTGCTACCATTCACAAATTGATGCTGGAAGGGAAGCAGAGACATGCCCGTCTTCACTGTGTCAGAATGATATCTGCAATGGAACAATTCCTGCTGGACGAGTCTTGGGGGGTGGCAAGTCGCCTGACAGGCGTAGAGGAGCCTCCATGGTCCCATTGGGCCAGTCAGGACCTCGCTTCCATCCGAAAACAATACATCTACACGCGGTTGATGGACGCGACATGGATTGGAGCCATCATCAACGAGCTGAAGGAGGAAGAGTGGTTGCCAAAGAAAAGAGGAAAAGGAGGAGGAAAAGGAGATGGCAAAGCCAAGGACGAGAAGAAGCCAGAGTAAAGCGTGAAGATTTCATGCAAGAGCATTCCGGAGAAAGCTTTTCTTTTTCATCTGACCAGGGTGCATCCGTTGCAGCATGGTTGGAACATGTGATTGATTCAATGACAGATTCATCACTGCCTTTTTCGCGTTATGTGCGGAGTACTTTTACTCCAGCAGCTACTCCACCGCCACGAGCTTCGGACAAGGAGCTCTTTCCGTGCCCGCCTCCTTTCCCTTGGAGTTGTGATAAAGGTCCTCTTCAAGGACGTTCTCGCCGAAGAGCTGCTAGGTTCCGCTTTCGGAGGTCCATTGAATTGTGGACGAACCTGATGGTGTGTGCTTTGAGCCATCAGGCCCTGGGAGTGCAAGTAGCTCCTGAGCGGGGGAGGCGTGAGTGTAAACTCAACCAGGCACAAGAGGAGATGGTTCATTTCCTTTTGAAGCTGAGCAGGTCGATGGTCCGCCTGGGCACTTCTGAGTCTGGATGCGGCCTCCGGCTACCAGCAGTTGGAACTCATTTGAGTGAGTTGAGGTCTGAATTAGATGCTTTAGACAGTTTGCCATATGCCCGTCACAAAAGACAGTTTGGTGAAAGCTCTCAGGGAGCTGCTTTTGCAGCTACCAAAGCGCTTCCGGTGGTCGCAGATCGTTTGAGTTTGCCTGACAAAGTTGAGAATTTTGACCCAAGGCCGTACTTGAGTGAGAAATTTCGCACTATTTTTGAAGACCCTGATACCTTGTTAAAGACCCCGGAAGATATGCCTCCCCCAATACATATAAAGGGTACCGCGTCTCGAACTGAACTGTTGAAGGTGTTTGCCCGTTGGGATCAATTGGAAAGACTTTTTGTTTGCAAAACTGATGAGGTGAATTTTTTGGATCGTTGTGAGTTGTTTGCTGTCGCTAAAGATGTCGATAGGGACCGTCAAATTTTGCACCGCAAACGCCGAAACAGACGCGAGTATCATGTGGTAGGTGAATCCCGAAATCTTCCCCATGCTGTGCTTTTGACTCAGTTGCCCTTAGGTCGTGATTTGGTGTGTGCTTGTTCTGTTGATGATATCCGAGATTTTTATCATGCTTATGTGGCAACTGAGAAAAGAGCCCGGAGTAGTCCTGTAGGGCCTAGTTTTCGGTGGGGTGAGGTGGCACATTTGAAAGCTGCGCAAGCAGCACTGGCAGCGAACCGGATCACAACTGGTGACAGATTGGTGTGTTGTTTCAAGGGTTTAGGAATGGGTGACCATGCCGCGGTTGACATAGCTCAAGAAAGTCATGTTAATTTGTTGCGTAGTTGGGGCACCTTTCTCCCAGAAGAAACCTTGAATTACAGACACCCCCTCCCAAAACCTGAAAGCGGTTACTATGAGGGCATAATGATTGACGATCACTTGGGGGTACAATTGTTGCCTTGGAAAGGTGATGAAGTCACCACACTGGCCCAAGAGGGTCGCGATCAGCAGGTATTTGAAGCAGCTACAGCTGCCTATAATTCAGTTGACTTGAGGACCCATGAAGGTAAGAAAGTCCGAAGGTCTTTGCACACAAAAGTTTGGGGAGCGGAAATAGAAGGTAAGGCCGGCCTCATCGGCCCTTCCCGCTGTAAGCTCCTACGACTTGCACAGTTGTCGGTTTCAATGGCAAAAAGTGGCCCAGTTGACCAGAAACTGGTTGAAGCTATAACGGGGTTATGGGCTTTTACTCTCCAATTTCGCCGACCCCTTTTTGCTTTCATGTATGATATCTATCACCAACTTTCTCCCGGGGGACCCGAGGATTTGTTTAAACTGACCCAGGGGGCCCGGAACGAATTGATGGTGCTGGCTAGTTGCGCCCCGCTCTGCGTGTGCGATGCCAGGGCTCTTCCTGATTCTTTTCTTTATTGTGTTGATGCCTCTCCGTCTGGTGCGGGGGTGTGTCGGGCTGAAGTCGGGGTTGAAGTGTCTGGGGAGTTGTGGCGTCGTGGTGACAAGGTGGGTTATCGAATGCCTTTGCTGTCCAGGCTGCAGTCGAGTTTGAAGGGCAGTGGCTGGGATGAGGAGGCGGTTTTGAGTGAGGAGGAGTCTACGGGTGATGAAGGCAGGGGGTCTGCTAGTGTGGGGCAAATGCATGGGAGTTTGGAAGTTGTTTTTGAACATCGCGTGATGTTGGCTGATCCGTCTTTGGCGTTGTTTGAGTTTCCTTTTGACTTGTTGGAAGTTTATGCTGGAGGTGCGCAAATGTCTCATGCGTGGAAGGCTAAAGGTTTCAAGGTCTTGCCGCCGCTCGAGGTGAAACAAGGTTGGGACCTCCTTGACCCTGAGTTGTTTTTTGGCCTCTTGTCTTTTGTCAGGGCTGGAAAGGTCCGGTTTCTGTGGTGGGCCCCTCCTGGTGCTACGTTTTCCTCGTCGCAGGCTGCGAGGGTGAGGTCTGCGGAGGCGCCTTGGGGTTTGGATGTGCTTGCGGATTGTGTGGTGAAAGGTAATCTGCACGCTTGTCAGTGCGCCCTGTTGGCGTTGGTTCAGGTTACGCTTGGGCTCTTCATGGCAGGTGAGGTGGCTGCTACCAGTCTTATCAGGGCTTTGGGGGCATGGCGCGTGTTGTCTCGTCGGGAAAATTTTTTCGAAGTCTTGTTTGATTGGTGTCGTTTTGGTCGAAACTTCAGAAAAACAACTTGTTTGATTTCGAATTTTGTGCCTCTTAAGAAATTAGGCCGAAGATGCTGTCATCATAACCAGAGGAAACACCTGGTGCTTAATGGAGGGGATACTACGAATGCTGCGGCTTATTCCGAATATTTTTGCGATCGGGTTGCTAGCCTCTGGAAAGCTTGGGAGCATTCTCACGCCCAACCATTCTGGGAGGATGGTGTCGGTGACATTCCCTACAACGCCCCCTTCTTGGATCAAAGCTCGTTAGTCCAAGATGCGGATTTTTGTTTGAAACCTTTTGGGGACAGCGGCAGACGCCGTCCTAAGGGGGGTTCGGCTCTGTGGGCCGTGCAGTTGTCGGAAGGGCTGACTTGGAAACCATGGGTGCAGTATGAGTTTCGCCAAAAAGAACATATTAATTTACAGGAAACCAAAGCCCGTAGGACGTTGTTTAAAAGAATTGGAAGGGATAAAAGACTTGTGGTGGCCCAAGATAGTCGTGTTAATATTGGTTCCTTAGGAAAGGGTCGAAGTCCCTCTGCTGCCTTAAACAGACTCATGCGATCTGAAGCCCCTTTTTTGCTAGGCAAAAATTTGCATGTGGCCAGCATTCACTTCCCAACTTGGTCTTTGAGAGCTGATGGCCCAAGCAGGGGCCGCAAGGTGCTGGGCGCTCGCACCCCTTTGCCTAAGTGGTTTTGGGCACTGCGCCAGGGCAGCCGTCAGGCTGCCAGCAAGTTGGATGGCCTGCAGGGGCTCTCTAGGGCCCTTAATCGTTGGTATCTGTTTGTTGGCGTGTTGCTTTTGTCCGCTAGTGGCAGCGCCGCGGCCCCCAGCAGTTCACCTTCGAGATCGCTCATTGATCGAAAGAGGCAGGATCACCGAGCGGACTCGAAGCATTCGACAAGGGCTGCTCAACAAACTGGAAACGTGGTTGGCCGAACAGCTTCCGGACACTTCTCTGGAGCTCTTGGCACGGCACCACATAGATGTTTTGTCAGAGTGGCTCGAAGAATATATGGTCACCTTGTATCTGGAGGGGGCAAGCCGTCGCTCCGCGGCGGAGAGTCTCAATGCGGTGGTCCAACAATTTGGCTGGCTTCGATCCTCTCTTGCTGCGCCGTGGAATGTGCTGAAGACGTGGGATATGTTGGAGCCAGTGACACACCACCCACCAATGCCTTTGCAAGTCGTTCTTGCGCTTGCAAGTACTGCTCTGGCCTGGAATTGGCCGCATTTTGCGGCCCTGCTGGTCATAGGCTATTTTGGCTTACTGAGACCCTCAGAGCTTGTTGGCTTGCGACGACGAGACCTGCCACTTCCACAGGACCACTGGGAACCGCAAGTCTTGTACGTTCGAATAGGCCAGCCGAAGACGCGCTTTCGTGCTGCAATGGCGCAGCACGTGCGCATCGACGAAACAGGCGTTGCTGCTTGGGTACAGCTGATCCTGGGCTCAATGCCGATGTGGAGAAAACTTTGGTGTGGTTCTGTCAGCTCCTTCAAGACTCGCCTTGAGTTGGTGCAGCAGGAAGTCCTTCAGTGTTGTGTGTTCCAACCTTCTTCCCTGAGACCGGGGGGGGCTACCTTTCTCTTTAGGAAGTTTAATGAAGACTTGACCAGAGTACAGTGGAGAGGTAGATGGAAATCGTACAAGATGTTAGAAACGTATGTACAGGAATTAGGTGCATCTGAGATTTGGATCCGATTTCCCCAAAAAAATCGTGACCGCGTAAAGGTGTTGGGGGATTTGTTTCTTCGTCTTTTGCATGTTGCCTGTGATGCTAGGCTGCCAGACACACCCGCAGCAATGCACCCGAGCCCGCCCGCCCGTGAAGGGTAGGGTGGGACACAGAGTTGAATTTAGAACGGCTTGGCAAATCAAACTAGATTTCCCAGCTGCTAAGCCTTGAGAAGGCTTCCCAATTACTTGAGTTTGGAGTGCTGCCGGTGAAAAGAAAGAACTCAAGACTCGACAACACAGTGAAGGCTGGCGAAGCCAGGCTGACGTGCCTGGATGTGACAACAATGAAAGGCATTGTTTTCATGGAAGGGCAGTCAACATGTGTTGTCTGTAGCTTTCTGTTTGGTCACCACCGCCCCGCCACCACAGAGTTGAATTTAGAACGGCTTGGCAAATCAAACTAGATTTCCCAGCTGCTAAGCCTTGAGAAGGCTTCCCAATTACTTGAGTTTGGAGTGCTGCCGGTGAAAAGAAAGAACTCAAGACTCGACAACACAGTGAAGGCTGGCGAAGCCAGGCTGACGTGCCTGGATGTGACAACAATAGACATGAAGGAGCGCTCCTTTCTGTTCGTTCCTACTGTGGAATCAAACACCATCATTTACCCTTTTCCACATGGATTTTGGGGGGATGGGTTTTGGATTCAAAATATCCACGATATGTTCATCTCGGCGTCATGGTTTAGCACTGGATAAATCCCACAATATAGTTTAATCCACCGCATGGATGCATATGGAGGTCTCCTGCAATGGGGGATCCAAAACCATGCAAAATTGGATATTCTATGACATTCTTAAGAAATAGGGAAAAACCATGGTTTGGGGAAGCATCCATTTACAGATATATACAATCATCTACAGCAGATTCTGGAGCCATTCCTCCTTCGCACCTTTCCACTAGTGATCGGTCAAAAGCCTGTCCCTATGAAAGAAGGGCCTCCGAGATGCTCCAGACCCATCTATTCTTCTACGCTTGTTCCCCCGAACGCATCAGAATAGGAAGACCACGTCATCTATCCGTGCCATGATTCAATGATTCAATGATTCCTGCCACATCATATACGAGGGTATATTATGGTATATTCCCATTATATCCCAATGATTATCTCATTACTATCCCTACAAAACCACATAAATCCCCACAAATCCCAATGAGGAAAAAAAATAAATCCCTCTAAAATTGAATCCAGAAAAAACAAATCCCTCTAAAATCCATATGAATCCATCTAAATCCCTTGAAAAGTCCATCAAATCCATCTAAATCCCTCTAAAATCCATATGAATTTACTGTGCTGGCCTGATTTGACTCGTTTTTCCGGGCGTCCCCCGCTCAACACAGCTTTGGACGCCAGATCCACCGCATCGTTGGCGTAGCGCTCCAGGAGCACGGCGGCCAATTCGGCGTCCTGAAACCATAGGGATTTTATAGGGATGTTATAGGGATTTATAATGATTTATAGGTTCTTGTTTATGTGGTTTTATAGGGATTTATCATGATTTATAGGGATTTTTAGGGATTTTTTATGCGGTTTTACAGGGATTGATATGGTTTTTTATATGGTTTTATAGGGATTTATATGGTTGTTGTAGGGATAATACATAATGCGATAATAATTGGGATACAAGGGGAATCTACCCTCCGGTGGAGACATGGCGCCGGGAAATGGCCCAACGAGATGGAGGTCTTCCTAAAATGGGGGTCCCCCAAAATGGATGGTTTATAATGGAAAATCCGCTAAAAATTGATGATTTAGGGGTGCCCCTATTTTAGGAAACCCTCCATGTGAAGACATTACGCACAATGTCAACTTGATGTACCCTGGTTTCAGGTCGCCACAGCCGTGTGTGACATGTTTATTGATTTTATTGCTTGTTTATCGCAATATACTCAATCAAATTATATGAAATTCACACTTTTCTAGCACAACCTTCTGTTACTGAGAATCTCTCTTCGGATGTGCCGGTTTATAGCAGGCTCATACATGGTGATAATCTACTTCTGAAGTGTTGTATCATGTGGGACTATGCAGCACTTACTATTCATGGGATGCACATCCACTACAACTTCTAGCTGCGACAATCCTCCATGTCTTGAATCCACGTAAATCCGAACCCATATGCTCAATCTATGGTATAAATACCAACATTTACCCCTACAATAGTGCAAATGAACCAAACGTGGAGCACGGAAACTACGTCCCAGTTACTATCCAGTTGCCATTAACCCCAACTATGTAAACCTCTGTGTTTTTGTATAAAAATCAAATATATAAGGTATACAAATACCCAATTCACCCCAATGCTAATTCGATCCCCCATATCAAATAACCCCCCATGACTGAAACCCAAATGAATAGATCATAGTGGAGCCAATACATTCCACCATCTCCAAGAGAGGTCTATTACTGGATATGCCTCCGTTGGGGATGATTTGGTTAATGGATGTTAATGGATGTTAATGGTATGGTTTATTATTGGATTTATCACAGTACTTGGATTTGCGGGTGGCATGGAATATAAAAAATCATCCCAAGTTATAACTGGGTTATAAGTATGTTTACTCACCACTAAATGGAATAATTACCCTCCAGTAAATTTCACATGACGACCCTGCCATGAGTCGGGGTTGGAAGACTAGTAAAACCACGATAAATTGCTCATTTTCAGGGTCGAACTGTTAATTTACCAAAGAGGTATATCCAGTAATAAACATCTCTTGGGGATGATTCGGAATGTATTGACTCCGCTATGATAAACATATTTACTCACTGGAATAATCCTCCAGGTTTTAGTAACCCCTAAATCCCCATGGGAAATTTCGCTGCCCAACTCATCGACTTCTCCGACTCCTGGTGTCGCAGCTCCAGAGATGCACGGCGTAGAGCCAAGTCGCTGCTCCCGTGACCTGGAATCCATCGTGCAGCGATCTTTTTTTTCGAAAAAAAATGGGATTTATCGGGATTTCCATGGGATTTCCATGGGATTTCATGGGATTTCCATGGGATTTCCATGGGATTTCATGGCTATGTTCAGGATTTCATGGGATTTAATGGAATCAAACTGGAACAAAAATCCCATTTGGAATCGTTTGGAATAGTTTTTAATGGATAGTTGATTCCCATAGTTTAATGGCTATTCAGTGGATTTCCCATTAGATGATAAAAAGTGGAATAGTGTTCATCATCAAACTGGGAAAAAACTGGAAAAAATCGTGGAATCCACCAAGATGATGAAGACATCATCGCCCATTTCGCTCGCTCATCCGTTTAGGGACGTTTTTTGAGGCTCCAGTGATACGATTTTCACCTGCAAAAACATGCAGCCAGAAAGTCTATGTACAATCTATGGATAAATCAACTAAATAAATTCCATGAAAATCAAATTGGACGCTATTATATATCCTAGTCATTGGATGTATTATAGCATCTAAATTTATTACAACATACATCCAATTCACCATCTAAATCAACTATCAATATCAATGAATCAACCAATCTATGGATTCGCTTCCCAACACCCAGAGAGGTTGACGTCCCAGGGGAATTTGCAATTCAGGGCCTGCGTGATATTCCTGGGCAGGGTTGGGTCAAGCATCTGGGCTCGCCATATCAGTTGCATCATGGAAGAGTTCATGAACTGTCTGCATTCTAAATGTGTAAGCATAAACACAGTGTGTGTGTATATATAATTAATAATGTATATATATAATATATATATATAGATACATATATGTTTTGTATACATACTATACACCCTAGATTCATTGCTATAGGATGCACACCACAGCATTTTAGCCCTTTGTGCCGAAGCAGTGCTGGGACATCACACCGCATCCGCTCAGCGTGGCATCCAACAAGACTCGAGCACGATCGACCCTTCCGCAGGATTCCTGCGATGGCAGAGCCGAGCCGAGCCCCATCCTTTCCGCTGGTGGGAAAGTACCGAAAGTACCACATCAAAACAAAAAAAACATTCTATATGAATATACCATATATGTGGTTGAAATAGATCCTGGCAATTCCAAAAAGATAGAAAAGTGGAATCTTCCTACAATAGTGGTAAAAACCCTGTAAACGTGCAAAAAGATGCGGTTTTCCCCACCATAAATGTGGATCATGTTCCTCAATGATGTTCCTTTCCGGGTTCCCCATGGGTTTTCCACATATTTCTGTATGTTTACCCCCGGGCAAGAGGCTAACCCATCAAAACTCGCCCCGTTGCAACTCCCATGAGAATTCTCACTGTGGATTAGCACCAATGCCAGTTGCACCATCCCCCAGTCATCACCATTTTTATATATAGGTGGTATAAGTTTACCCCAATTTTGCTTGATATATGGATCACCATTTTTATAGGTGGTAAGTCTACCATTCAAAATTTTGAACTCGATATCCACCAAAATTATAGGTGGTATGTTTACCATTCAAAATTTTGCTTGATATATGGCATGGTTTTACCCACATCATAGCTATGGAAAATGGCCAATTTAGTTCGTTGATTTACCCATCAAAAATGGTGGTTTTCCATTGTTTTTGGTATCGTTGACCTTGTTTCCCACATCACTATCCCTTGAACTCGAGCGATTCCTCCAGCTCCGCCCAGGCCGCCAATGCATCCGGCCGTCGGGAGAGGCGGCCCGACAGGCAGGCACCTGGATGAGGGGTTCCTCCGTTTTAGGAAACCTCCATATAATATACATAAGGATCATGTAGGTCGGTAGTAAAATGTCTTTGAACATACTTATATCTACAAGTTTGGTCATAGAATGTAATGAACATTAATTAATATGATATGATAATTAATATATTATATGATATCATGATATATATATACAGTATATATAATTAATTATAATGTATTCTATTACGGGGATAATGTAAAAATCAACATATCATAACATATCTTAGACTTTTGGCTCGCCGAACTCAATCCCTGAAAACTCACCTCGCAGCAAGCCGCAAGAGATCTCAGGCTTGTTTTGGCCATGAGCCGCCTGCCAGCGAAGACGGTCACCCATGATCACCATAAATGGTAACCATCCCCAGATGATTGGTAGGTTTATATAGGTTTATATAGCTTTAACCCAATAAAATATAAACCCCAATATAAACCTATATAATCTGGGGATGGATACATATGGTTACCACCCATTTAATGTGATTTAGAGGGATTTACCACATTAGCCAAGATTCCTGAACAAGAACAAATGGATACAAATGAAGACACATGGAAGATTTGATGGTATATAATGGGGATATAACCATTTCGCCAATCACCATGAAAAATGGTGATGTGCAATCATCAAGGTTTATTGGAACAGTAGTCATGGATATGTTTGGAGGATGTAAAGGGATATAGTTACACAGTATATAAATGAAATAGCCAATAATATATACGGGAATTTTCGGGTATGTCTGAAGCTAGATATACCCCCACAAAAAAAAAATGCAACTTTGACTGGGGAGATTGAGGTTCTCGACCATTGCAATAAGGGTGGTGTTCCCATACTTTTCAGACAGCCTCACATCTTTTTAGTGCCCGTTCGATCCCGTACGCCCGCCCGCTGCACCTCAGCTTGTTCCAACACGCTGGCGTAGCGCAGCCAAAATTCCAAGTAATTGTTCGCCACGATCTGCCACGGTCTTCGGTGATCTTCGGTCGTCTGTGACACTTCGCGAGTCGTCGAAGTAGGCGTTTCGGTTCCATGACTTTTTGGCCGTGAAAAATGGTGATGTTCCATGACACAAACCTGTTTATTACCAGAGGAATATTCCCATTATATTGCAATCATTGCCCTACTCGGCCAAGATCCTATAAGTCCTGAGCCAAGTCACTTGCCCAAAAAAACCACCTTGATCCGACATAACTTGGCATTATAACTAGTCAATATTTACCTTGAATCGGGAGTATCATATGAGTATACATGTTTCGTATTTTTTTCCACATGTTATACCTAATCAACATAATTTATATAATGGTAGTCAAATTGCAGAATCAGTTCCAAAATGTGGGAAGCCCTGCATTTTGGAAGTCTCCAAACATGTCAGGCGCACCAAACATCTTTCAAACAACCCTTGCAATCGCCGCCAATCTCGAGGCTCGCGTGACCTAAGGCGAAGGAATAATGAGTGAAGCAGATTAGAGAAATGGGAGTCTTTAATCATCCGTAGTAGACATCAATCTATTTAATTTATGCATGCGTAACGTGGAAATATAATAATACGATGGCGATAGAATGGGAGATACAGACATATTTGCAACAAACTCCAGATCAACCATCTTAGGAAGCATAGCACTGCAACAATAGGATACATGGCGAGGGCCCCCAAATTACCATTTAAGGGGCGATAAACGAACCTGTAATTCCTAAACTTGAAATAGATGAAATAAAAAGTGTTTTGGCCCCCACTCCAAACCAGCATTTACGAGGCTTGGTCTTAAACAGGCTTCGTCTCAAATGCTGTAAGGTTGGCAAACCAGCTCCCAGATGTAGTAGCTTAGGGAAGTCAAACAGTTGAAACATGGCAATTGAAAATTCCAATGCTTACACATTTTCACTTGGAACATCTTCTCGACATGGAGAAATGTTCCAGTTGGGGCTAGATTGCAAGAATTCCCATCGACTCCGAATCACCCTCTGTTGTGGGGATTTTGACTGCGCCCAATTCTTATGTCTTCAACATCTTTACTTAGTGGATTGAGTCAAGGTTAAGCCAAATCCCAAACTCCAACAAAAATCATGCAAAGTCCGTCTCCAGCGCCCATGATTGCCATGCCCCGTGGCATCGTCGGTCACCATCCAGGCTTCCGCACTCCTCGAAGTCCAAGAAGCGTCGCCAGGCGTCCAGTTGCGCCGAACTCAAAACCTTCTGGTGGAAGTAGTGGCGATGCAACGGCGCCTCAACGCGGCGCTTGGCGGCCACGTTTTTCGGGTGGGATGGGGATTTCGATGGGGAAATCATGGCATTTCAGTGATGTGATGGATCACTATTTTCTCGAAACCACGCTGAATTACTTGTCGTTCTTAGTAAACGGGTAAACTTCGTCAACCACCCAACTTTAGAATACTGCCACTTTGTGAAACCACTCCATCACCATATCATACCCTATGGTAATTTAACACAGCTATGGAAAATGACCGATTCATAGAGTAGTTCTCGATTAAACATGGTCAGTTTCAGTCACTCTCCTGGCTGCGTTAAACTACAATAGCTGGTTGGTGGTTTCAACCCCTCTGAAAAATAATTAGTCAGATTAGATCACCATCCCAGCTATTGGGGAAAATAAAAAAAAAACAGATAGGGTAACTGTTGCATCCCCCCGTTTTCAAAGCACCGTCCGCCTCGAAAGTTCGTAGAAGGGATGCTTCTTCCGAAGCTGCGGCCCACAATTCCTGGCCCGGGGCAAAGGTGCGCTCCATGGTGCTGCTAGATTTGCCTCAAAAAAATGGACCCTTTTGGGGTAACCATGACCGTAAATTTGAACTATTACCCTCTGGTAAACTAACATAACTATGGAAAATCACCATGTTTAATGGGAAAACTCACTATAAATGTCAATTTTCAATAGCTATGTTAGTTTACCAGAGGGTAACCATGACCGTAAATTTGAACTATTAATACATGTGGCATATGCGCATATATGCGCATATGCTACACTTCCGTACATGACTGGGCCATTTTGAGAGTGAATTTTGGTATACAAATACACTATACTATACAGTACCAATGGAGCATATGTATAGTCAAAAACTCATCGAGTTGCTCAGGTACCCCAGGAAATGGGTTAAATGGGGGTCCTATGAGACTGGCTGTGGGCCATGGTTTCCACCATCACATCCCAGGAAACGGCCATTGGGGCTGTGCCGGAAGAGGAGAGGGCACAGGGACTTGTGAAAACTGGAGAAGCCCAAAAACAAGGAACCAATGTTGTTGAGTTTTTGCTGGGTCCACATTGATCGGAAAGGCTTAAGAGATGGAGTCTTAAAGATTCATGAATTTGTGCGTGCTTACAGTAGCTGCTCATCTTGTACAGCAACACAGCGAGGAAGGTGTTCAATTGGCGAATCATATTATATGGAAATGTCAGATTCTTTGGTTTGGTGCCATGCTTGCTTTCCAGAGTTCAAAACCCCAAGACTCAGATCGTCTGAATGCACAACTCCTGATTTTGCCGTTGCGACCGCTTTTGTTGCTGGCACAGGCGATTGTAAGGACGATTTCTGAACCATGTACTGTATCATCATTTTTTACTATACCTTAAATTTCATAAATCCAGGCCACTGTATTTCTTGGATGAATATCCCAAATTCTCTTCCTGCTAATATAAATTCCCCAAAAAAAAGCATTGTCCTGGTTGAGTATTGGATCTACTTTTGGGGATCCATGAGGCCATTTGAGGGGTGTATGTAAATAATGACGGGGGAACGATTATTGTAATATGTCTTCTTAAATAAATAAATATTATATATATATAACTTATATAACTATGTATATACATATATATATACACAACTAAATATAAATATATATATATATGTATGTGTCTTACTTATCACGCATTTGAATATGTTTGATAAGTTCAAAATCGTGCTTCAGCCACCCGCTAACCAACGCCTCACGCATCTGCAAGAAGCGCTGTGCGCGGTCGGTGATGAACTGTGCCGCGTGTTCGGTTCGGTGCGGCGGGCTGCAACCAACTGGTCTCACCGGGGTAAGGCTCAAAGTTCATTCCTTTCCTGTGAAATACCAAGCTGTTTGGATTAACATCTATACTTCTTATTCACTTTTGGTATTATTCCCTTAAAAAAAAAAACATGCATCCGGCAGTAATAAACACTTTTCAAGAAACCCTTGTACTGGATCATTTGTTTGTTTTTGTTGAAAGGTACAGTAACTTGTGTTGGAGCAATATCCCCTTGTTCCAACTTCGGGACCACCCTAAACATACGTCAAAGGACAAACACTTGTTGTTATGAAACCTTTCTGTTATGAATTCTAGGAGTTGGCACAAACGCTGGAAACGGGAAACCTGAAGCAATTTAAACTCGTGGGGTAAAACCGCAATAACAGGAGCAAGGGCATATAGCACAAAATGCAAGATGATCAAAACAATACTTTAGGTAACACAAATCCCAAACTCTTAGTCTTTACATTGCAATTGGGATTAGGGTGGTAAATGTTGATAAACTATTTCATCCGCACAATTATTTAGATGCATATAGATATATTATCATATATTCATATATGGATATATTTTTTTGGACTTGCCACCAGCTATGTAACGTAGGTGTTCATCAACAACCCGGGCAGAAAACATGAATCCAGCAGTGTGTTCCGTGGCAGTGGCATATGCTCATATGTACTAGTATGTGGGTATATGAATAGGATCATCTGGTAAACAAACATAGCTATTGAAAATGGTGATCTATAGTGGATTTACCCATTTATAGCATGGTGATTCTCCATAGTTTTGTAAACGTTTACCAGGCCGGGTATCATCTGATCATGTTGATTTCCAGTGTTCGCCTGTGATTCCGAGGTCCTACATTCCACATCGAACAGTCATCATTAAGAGCAATAGATTTAGACGATCGATTCTTGTGAAGAAAATTGCCATAGAAATAGTGGATTTACCCATTGAAAACGGTGATTTACCCATTGTCTTGGATAATAAGGTGAATAACTGGTTGGTGGTGCACTAACCATCTTCAAAAATATGAGTTCGTCAATGGGAAGGATGACATCCCATATATGAAATGGAAAATAAAAGCCATGTTCCAAACCACCAACCAGATTAATAATTGCAACCCACATGATTGCATGTCTGCTCACGAATCTCGCTTTTTGACGGCAAAAAAAAACTGGCCACATCCATGTCGCTTGACAAAAGCTCAGAGTCAAATCAAAAAAACAGGCAATACAACTTTACAGCCCGCAAACTTCAAAGACAACCTTTCACCGAGCTCAGAATACGAATCATTCATCCTTCGTCTTGCCGAACTTGTTGTTGTCAACCCTGTCCCACTGCTCTTTTGCCCGATGAAATTCCTCCTGGGCGTTTTCCTTGTTTCCATTCAAAGATGCAGCCACTCCCGCTCCTGCGTGCCAGCCAGCATGAATAGTGGAGCACACCCACCCATTTTGGTGCATGTCGAACGTGTCATCCAAAAAGTTGGAGAAACTCCGAACTCCACCGGGATTGTACATGCTGGCAGCCCGATGACAGAAAGCAAGCAGGATGCATGAGAAGAATACACACCGCATGTTGTGGATTGTGCCTTACTACGGCGCTTGAGCCAAAGCAAAGTGCAGTATATATTGAGCCATGAGGAAACTTGACCGCGGAACGAAAAACATACCTACATCGAATGAAAAAAAACTCGCACAACTCCACAAACTTATGCGTATGATATGCGCTCTTCTGAAAGTAAAGAACTGCTACAATTATATACGACCAAGTAGATCATGTGTGCACGGTGTATCATGTGTATGTATATATAGATATATGCAGGCATCAAGGCAAACAAAAGAACGATAGATAGATAGGATAGATAGGATAGATAGGATAAATGAGATAGATTGATAGGATAGAGAGGATAGATAGATTGATAGGATAGAGAGGATAGATAGGATAGATAGGATAGATACGATAGCTAGGATAGATAGATTGATAGGATAGAGAGGATAGATAGGATAGATAGGATAGATACGATAGCTAGGATAGATAGGATAGATACGATAGCTAGGATAGATAGGATAGATACGATAGCTAGGATAGATAGGCTAGATACGATAGATACGATAGCTAGGATAGATAGGATAGATACGATAGCTAGGATAGATAGGATAGATAGGATAGATACGATAGCTAGGATAGGTAGGATAGATACGATAGCTAGGATAGATAGGATAGATAGGATAGATACGATAGCTAGGATAGGTAGGATAGATACGACAGCTAGGATAGATAGGATACATAGGATAGATACGATTGCTAGGATAGATAGGATAGATAGGATAGCTAGGATAGATAGGATAGGTACGATAGCTTGGATAGATAGGATAGATACGATAGGTACGATAGCTAGGATAGATAGGATAGATAGGATAGCTAGGATAGCAAGGATAGATAGGATAGATACGATAGCTAGGATAGATAGGATAGCTAGGATAGATAGGATAGATAGGATAGATACGACAGCTTGGATAGATAGGATAGATACGATAGATACGATAGCTAGGATGGATAGGATAGATACGATAGCTAGGATAGATAGGATAGATACGATAGCTAGGATAGATAGGATAGCTAGGATAGATAGGATAGATACGATAGCTTGGAAAGATAGGATAGATACGATAGATACGATAGCTATGATGGATAGGATAGATACGATAGCTAGGATAGATAGGATAGATACGATAGCTAGGATAGATAGGATAGATAGGATAGATACGATAGCTAGGATAGATAGGATAGATACGATAGCTAGGATAGATAGGATAGATAGGATAGATACGATAGCTAGGATAGATAGGATAGATAGGATAGATACGATAGCTAGGATAGATAGGATAGCTAGGATAGATAGGATAGATAGGATAGATACGATAGCTAGGATAGATAGGATAGCTAGGATAGATAGGATAGAAAGGATAGATACGATAGCTTGGATAGATAGGATAGATACGATAGATACGATAGCTAGGATAGATAGGATAGCTAGGATAGATAGGATAGATAGGACAGATAGGATCGATAGGATGGATAGATTAGATGGATGGATGGGATTGCTGGATGGTTGGGAGTAAGATTTGGAGTCCGCTTAGGAGTAGAAATAGGAGTAGGATCCACTTATCAACCAACTTAGCTATATAACGAACATTAACGAACTGTAGCACCCCCTTGTACAATGAATGCGGAGTGTTAGGGTTTCTGTCGCGCCTTCGTCTTCTTCCCAGGCGTCTTGGTATTCTTGGGATCATCTACCTGCAACGGGGAAATAGGTCAGGCAGGGTACCGTTTCAAAACATGCGGCATTGGATCGAGTTAAACTATGTTTAAAAAAAGATACTGGTATCATAGGAAAACCATAGGAAAATTGTGATTTAACCACTATAAATGGTGATTTAATGGTTAACAATGGTGAAAAATGGGATGATATGGTATATACCCTCTGGTAATTTGTTACATAGCTATTGAAAATACCCCAGTTATAATGAGTTTTTCCATTAAAAACTGTGTTTTTCCATAGTTATGTTAGTTTACCAGAGGGTAGATCCTGATAAAAGGGTTGATTGATACATCCATGTTCGATGGTTAACACATCTTAACACCCCATAAATTAGCCATTTTGGTTGTCAACTTAGTGGTTTGTTGATCCCCCGCTAAGTTATTTTAATTTTGAATTGGATATTATATATGGATTTAGATGATGTTTACCCATGGAGTCCCCAATTTTGGCTAACAATCTAGATATTAGATAGCAACCCAATCAATTTTTAGAGTCTATGTCATGGAAAAAATCATGATGTCATTATGTACTGTATGGTTTTATTATATACCCCCATGAAGTCATGCCAGTGGTCCCATCACCCATATTCAACTTCAATACCCCCCATGGGCCCAACAGCAGTAGATCCCAGAAATTCCACCCAGGCTTTCGTTGGTGAAATCAACTCGGAAATTCTTGTCTTAAGTCACGTATTACTGCATGGTTTTAATGTCCCCATTTATGGCTACCCTCTGGTAATTTGTTACATAGCTATTGAAAATGACCATTTATAGTGGATTTTCCCATTAAAAATGGTGATTTTCCATAGTTATGTTAGTTTACCAGAGGGTATATCTGGTTGGTGGTTGCTGCTAACCCCTCTGAAAACTATGAGTCAGTTGGGATCATGAAATTCCCAACTGAATGGAGAAAAAACATGTTCCAAACCACCAACCAGATATTGTATAATATATCAATACCCTCAGATAGTCAAACAGGGACAATTCCTCAGTTATTAAGCTATAGATGATTTTGAAACACTAAACCCTCTGTTTACGAGGGATTTCCCAGCCAAACATGTGGCTGATCACAGAAGGATATATTCCCATTACATTCTCATATATTCGCAATCATATCCCAACTATATCGGAGTTATATCCCAATTATAGTCCAATTACGATTCCAATTTTCTATTTATCTCAATTACTATCCCAATAATATCTCTATACATCCCTATCACCCTAGGGTAAACGTTTAGATGTGGAAAACCCATGGTTTCAGAAAATAGTCTACAAACAGTTGATTTGTCACATCTATGTTAGTACCCTAGGGTGTATGATGTGATATCCAGCAAACCCTTGGGCACCACTACCTTGGCTGCTGGCTCGGGCGCCGGTTCTGGAGAAACGCTCGGAAGCGGCGCCGCTGGAGGAAGCGTCTCTGGTTTCCCCAGGTCTGCGGGGGGCGCTGCCTGAAAACCACCGCGCAAAACCAATCATTTCATCAGCAAAATATATGGATTCAACGAGCAAAAATGGGGATTCATTAATAGAAATTAGGAACTAAGCAACAAAAATAAGGATTTATTTATACTATTTTAGACTAACAAAATTGGGGATTCAGCAACAGAAATGGGGATTCAACATATTTCAACAGTACACTTTGGGCTTTGTAAGAGCACGATGGGGGTTTGAGCAACAGAAATGTGGTGTTCAAAAAGCGAACTTTAGACTTATGCGGTATACCAGAAGAATGGCGGGTTACAATAACCAAAAGAAATCAGGAAAAAATTGGCTTTGCACCAGCATGGGGGTGAATGAGCGCAAATTTGAATCCAAACATGCTGCCAGAATATTCCTTTGGTTGGAATGTGAATAGCTACGCATTTTGGGAAACAATTGGGCTTAGACCCACACCCACATCTTTGTTCGGCGGTAAACTTCGATAGTTCCATCAAAATCCCCACGTTGAAAAGCCCCATCCATGGCGCTGGTCATCCCTGAGCATCCCCACATCCTTCACCGGTGGGCTCGGCTCGTCCAGAATCTCGCCTTCCTCGACCACTTCGCCTTCCTGGCGAAAGTGATCCCCTGATGTTTTCTGAATGGAATAAACTGAATAAAGCCCCAGTCATAATGAGAATACAATGGGAGATTTCATGGGAGATTTCATGGGATATCCGCCGACCCCGCCTTAGCCAAGGCAGGGGCGGCGCCTGGGACCACCGCAGGTGTGGAACTTTTTTTCGTTCCCAATGCTTTGCACTTTCCACGAGCCACCCAGGCCATAGCACCCTCTGTTCACCGCCCAGGAGCCACTCAGGCCACAGCAATTTCTGTGCACTTCCCACGAGCCACTCATGCCACAGCAATCTCTGTTTCTACGGCGTTCCAAAATGCAACAGGCCGCGGCAGACCTTTCCTGCAGCTCCAACAAGTCCCTGAGGCCCTGGCAGTGTCCTTTTAAGGAGGTTCAAGGCTGCCGTTTGCCAGCCCGCAAAACTCGCCAAACCCTCCCCTGCAGCTCCCAGGCGCCACTCCGGCCGCGGCGGACAGGCCGCGGCAGACCCTTCCTGCAGCTCCAACAAGTTCCTGAGGCCCTGGCAGTGTCCTTTTAAGGATGTTCAAGGCTGCCGTTTGCCAGCCCGCAAAACTCGCCAAACGCTCCCCTGCAGCTCCCAGGCGCCACTCAGGCCGCGGCACTCCCAGGCGCCACTCAGGCCGCGGCAGACCTTTCCTGCAGCTCCAACAAGTCCCTGAGGCCCTGGCAGTGTCCTTTTAAGGACGTTCAAGGCTGCCGTTTGCCAGCCCGCAAACCTCCCCAAACCCTCCCCTGCAGCTCCCAGGCGCCACTCAGGCCGCGGCAGACCTTTCCTGCAGCTCCAACAAGTCCCTGAGGCCGTGGCAGTGTCCTTTTAAGGACGTTCAAGGCTGCTCCAAACCCTCCCCTGCAGCTCCCAGGCGCCACTCAGGCCGCGGCAGACATTTCCTGCAGCTCCAACAAGTCCCTGAGGCCGTGGCAGTGTTCTTTTAAGGAGTTCAAGGCTGCCGTTTGCCAGCCTTCAAAACTCTCAAACCCTCCCCTGCAGCTCCCAGGCGCCACTCAGGCCGCGGCAGAACTTTCCTGCAGCTCTAACAAGTCCCTGCGCGT